CCATGCAGAAAAGCACTTATTTTAAAAATAAAGTCATACATTGTCCTGGTTGCCACACGGTGTGCTCATGTGCTTGGGGCTGAGTATAGCACACACACAAGAATTCAAACAGTGTGGTCACAGATCACAAAGGGAAGGATTAGGGCAGTTCTTCTCAATTTGGTGCCCTCCATGTGTTTTGGATCACAATTCCCATCAGATGCAGTCATCATGCTCAACTATCAGGAGTGATGTAATTGTAGTTAAAACAACTGGAAGGCACCAGACTGGGGAAAGCTGAGTTGGGGGTGATTGCAAAATCTGTGTTGTGTTAGGAAGGAATCAGACCAGTTGTCTCCTGTGTTTATTTTTCCTTTGATAGTAGAGATTCACCTTTTATTTTAAAACCTACAAAGTCTTCCCTTATAAAGAAGTCTGTATAACTTAGTAATATATATTGCTGATAGATGAACAGAATGCCTCTGAAAATATTCTTAAGAATAATGAGCCCCTTTTTTACAAATTTAGTAGAAAATATCAAATACATCTAAATATATCCAATGTTCTTTCAGTGTCCAGAATTATAATAAACAATGTTTTGTTCAGGCTTTGAATCATAGCAATGCATTATCATTCGAAGTTTGATTGAAAGGTTAAATTGTTGAACAGCTTTGTTATAAAAGAGGCTAATATCAGCTGTTAAAGGAAATTCATTTTGAGTTGAAATTTCTCTAAACAATTTCCACTGGTGAACTGATGGTTGTGGCAAATTTATGATGGCAATTTCTAGACAAGTCATTTCCCCATTAGTGCTATCTTTTTCTTCAAAGAAAATCCAAATATGAACTAGCATACTTACACTTTGCATGACTGAATGCAAAATATCTTGTCTATGGATGTGCTTACACATGGAGTTTCCCATGTCTCAGTTCATCATAAGAGCTTTCCATCTGATGACTGCCTTTTGATCTGAAAGTTATCTAAAGGTTCAGTCCTACACATCTGAGATGTAAACATGCATGGGAGTGCATTCTTGGTAGTTCTAGGACCCTGGTTGGCAGGCAATGTTTAGTACTGACTATTTTATGAATGGAGCAAGGAAACAAGGATAGAGGATAACTTGATGGCAATAAGAATGACATCTGGCATTTACTGGAATGGTCAGCCCTAAATTTTACCATAAAGGCCAGCTGTGTTTGTAATCCAAGACTTCTTTGGTCCCATTAAACCAGCCATAGTAAATGTTGTCGTTACCAGGAAATGTTCCAAATGAGAATGACATTTTACTATTTACTGAGAGCACTCCAAAGACCAAATATATCAGTGTATAAACATGAAACAGAAATGAAGAATGGTGTTCTCTAACAAGTGCATAAGGCGAAGTACTCCTGTTGCTCTGACCAATGAGCATGCGGCCTGAGAAGTTTTTATAGGGGCCTGGCATGCTCTCATCTATTGTTGCTAAGAGGCTTCCTTGTTTGTTTTGCAATTTTTCCCAGTACTTCTCTGCTTTGAGCAGAGCTGATTGGGGACAGGAAGGCCAAAACGCTGTCTGAGAGCTATCATAAGATGTCCTGTTCTCTTTCACAGAGAGCAGTTCTCTATTTGAAGGACTGCCAGCAGAGTCATCTATCTGAAGGGCTCTATTTAAAGGGCTTTCCTGTCCAGTTTCAGTTTAAAAATAAAGAAGCATAAGGACAATTATCCATCACCACTTAGCACCCAAGCAGTTGACTGAACAAATCGCCAGGGCTTTCATATTACATAGAGTTTTGCTATGCTTCTGTTTAGATTCTCCTGTTTTTCTAAATGTGCTCCTATGCTTTAAATTAGCATTTTTATTTTTATTTTATTTATTTTTATATGCCACCCCCTACTCCTAATGGAGTATGCAAAGTTTATGCACTTGAACCAACTTTTCTCATTTTAAATAATGCAATTTTTCTTTTAAAGTGATTCGTAACTGGCCATCCAACTCTCAAATCCTGTTGTTGGCATGATCACAATTGCCAAAATGGTGCAATTATCCAACATTTGACCTCTTAAAATCTTATGAATATCTAGAGCTCCCTTATACTGAGTTGGACTATAGGTTCATCTTCCAGCTCTAAGTTCCATATGATCCAGTCTGACTCCCCATTGACCTAGATGTTTCCCAGAGATCCTTTTTACTGGAGTTGCCCAGGAATTAACCTGGGATTTTCTGTATGCAAAGTATGGGCTTTGTAATTAAGATAAAATATTCAAAGTGAAAGCAACTAAAATTACCACTAAACGCCTAGATTCAACCTATAAAAATGATATCAAAAGGAGGAAATGTTTCCTTCTTTTTCAAAAAGATTAATTGCCATTATCTCTTCACGAACTTTCAAAATGAAATTTGAGCCACAGTAATCTCAGAGCAGACTGTGGCTTTCCATAAGACAATTTGATGGCTGTTCAAAGCTCTCTATGAGGATGCTTGGGATGCATGCAAATGTATAATTTCCCATTACAGAGAAGGGCAGAGACTCCTCATGCCACTAGGGATTGGGATCCTGGCCTTTTTCAGGAAATAAGACTGCCATTATTTGGATCAACTGGACTTTAGCATGGAGTCAAAGACTTAAATTCCATTCATTGTAATAACATACAACTTTCTTTGGATTGCCTCATAATGAAATACAGCAAATTCCTGGCAGCATTCTTTTGTTATATAACAAAATGCATGGTGTTATCTTTTGAAATATTGTAAGATGCCCATATGTTGGCAGTGGATTTTGGATTTAGAGTTCAATGGGACCTACTCCCAAGTCAATGTATACAGGATTGCTGCCTTAATGACCTATGAGAAGCAGCTGTGACTCTCAGGACTATTTATGTACCGGAAGATACTGCCATGTTGATAGCAGAATTTTGTAGGATGTATTTCTGGTGGCTCAGCCATTTCTAAACATTTGCTTATTAACAAGCAAAGCAAGGTGGAGGCAAATACATTCTTCTAAGCAGATAGCACAGCTGCTAATCCTGGTGTTCCCAAAGATCTTCAATTGCAGCCCCAAATTTGCACACTCAGTTTAGCTATGGCCAGCTAAGCTCTCAGCTGTCTCTTTCCTTCCAAGGAAACAGTACCCACTTCTGACAGTAGGATTAAGTGCTTCCCATTTCTGTGAACAACCAGAAGTAACATTAGAAGGCTTCATTTTCATTGGAGCATTAGAGATTTATGGGCCATATTAGGAACTGTGGGATTTCTTGGCTCAGTAAATATTGGCTCTCTTCTAATAGAAAAATAGTAGTATTCTCAAAGTTTTCTTCAAATAACTTTGTGAAAACCAGATATAAAGTATGGAAACCATTTGTTGTCAGAAAATAATACATGGTAAAAATATGTGGGATTCTTTTTCCAGTTTGTAAAAATCCAATTTGTTATAGTGCCTAAAAAATTATCTTTCACCAAAACTACATCACTATTCCCAAACTAGATTGTGAAATATAATTTGTTGCACATGCCCTACATCTCTTCTTTCTTTCTCTTTCCTTCTTTCCTTCTTTCCTTCTTTCCTTCCTTCCTTCCTTCCTTCCTTCCTTCCTTCCTTCCTTCCTTCCTTCTTACAAACATTTGTTTCCCGTCCTTCTGACAAGTGCTCAGGGTGGCTTACATAATATAAAATTAGAATAATACTATAGTAAAACCACAATTATTAAGACCATATAAAACTGAACCTCATAAACTAAGAAGAAAAGGAAGGAAAAAACAGAAAATAGAAAATGCGACTGTGAGGAAGAAAAAAAGGGGATAAAATCCTAAAAACATCTGAAACCTTTGATTATTAAAATGATGACTGAATAAAAAGGTCTTTACCTGGTGCCGGAAGGAGTATAACATCAGGGCCAGGAGGACCTTTCTGGGGAGCGCATTCCACACTCTGGGAGCCACTGTGGAGAAGGCTCTCCTCTGGGTAGACACCCTCGGTACTTCTTTCAAGAAGGGTTCCGGAGTGGGACCTCTCCTGCCGATCTTAAGGAGGATGAGGACATATAGGGAAGGAGGCAATCCTTCAGGTATTCTGGACCTAAGTCATTTAGGGCTTTATAGGTTAATACCAGCACCTTGAATTGGGCCCGGACTTCAACTGGAAGCCAGTGTAGCTGGTAGAGGACCGGCGTTATATGAGAATAACGATCGGTCCCCAACAGCAACCTGGCAGCTCTATTTTGTACCAGTTGAAGTAGCAAAGTCCAATGGGTAGGAGCAGGAATTACCTTCCTTTTGGAGGGCAGACTGTTGACCAGTGATTTTTCTTTTTTGGTAATATTTTGTCTGTATACCAATATACAAGTAGACCATGGATGAAGAAAACAGTACCATCAGATACTAAAAAAGGCACCCCAGTCTGTCTGCTTCTCTCTTTCTCTCCTTTTCCCTCTGCAGATTCCCCCTATCCACTCATTCTGCACATAGACCCTCCCTCACTCTTTCCCCTTAATTTGTGGGGGCCAGTGTGCCCTCTTTCCTGATGGATTTTACATTACAAAGCATTCCACGGCAATTGGCTTCCTTAAAGAGATTTTTCTTAGGTCATTCTGGACCAGAGCAAGTAACTTGCCTGTGAGAAGGCATGGCCAGGTCAGCATTTGTAACATTATCGTATAGCCCCAGTGTCTATGTTCTTTGTAAAGAGAGCTTTTCAAAATTAGACTTTACACAATTGTAGAATTCACTGCCTCAGAAGCCTCCTTGAATGCTGAACTTTAGAAGAGAACCATTGTTTGAATAATTAATACTATTTTGCAAGCTCTTTTTAGTTTTACTGGGATACTTCTTACATGTTTTATAGCTGCATTTTATTTTGTTTTATGAATTTTTATTGTTTATTGTTTTAGCCTGAATATTTTGATTTTTTATTCTGTTACATGCCACCTTGAATTCTTATTCTGAAAGGCAAAATATAAGTGCATATATACATGCATGCATGCATTCATAGCTGGATCCGAGTTGCAATTGGCAGCTAGCTCATTGGGGCCAATTTCCTTTCTAGGAATGGAACTCTACTTTGGAAGAATTAAAAACTGATGCACTCGGGATCCTATTTTCAGAGGATTATGCTGAAAAAGAGCATCTGAAACTTGCCAATCAGAAAATAAATCTATTGCAACAGGAAGTGAACCGCAGTATGAATGAACGGAAAACTTTGCTACAAGAAGCCAATGACTTCTTCATCGCAGCAAATAAGGTTAGTCAGAGGGTTAACTTCATTATGGTAATTTTCTCTGTGTAAAAGAATCTTATCCCACCTGAAGTATTTTCTCCTATTTATTTATTTAGGGCATTTATAGGCCGTCCATCACTGTCATCTCTGGACGGCTTACAATATCAAAGCAATATCAAATACCCCCCAATCTGTTTTGCTTGGGGGTGGGCAGAGTTGAAGTATTTATCGAACTTACCAGCAATATAACTGCTTTGTACTCCTGCTAGGCACCCTTACCTTTTCCTTCCCATACTGCCCAGCGCGCCATGATGTCAGGTTGCATGCAGGGAACATTGCTTCAGCTGTGGCTACGATGTTTCCTATCCTAACTCTACTTCCCATCTTATTATCCTACTATGCAAAAAGGGAGGGAGAATGGGGCTGAGTAGTTGTGAAGAGTGTGGCTGCCATAACCAGGAGAACAGGAGAGTGTAGGGAGTTAAAAGATGAAGGGCATTGTGATTTCTTTGCAATTAAACAACAACAGTGTTAGTCCTGCATCATACATCTTTCCCTACAGGCTGGCACATTAATATAGAAAATGCTTCACAAAAATGGCAAAGTATTATATAAGCATTCCTGGGAATAGAGCACTTAAAAGGGTACTAAGTGGCTGGAGTGCTTCCCTTGTCTAATAAGCCATATAGGAGGTGTGGCCAAACCAAAACTTGCAAGTCACATGTGGCTCTTTGAGTGTATTTTGTGGCTCACCTGTCACACACGGGTGCCCACATGTGGCTCTCAAACATCTGACATTTACTTTATGTGGCTTTTGCATTGTGCAAGTCTGCCCCTTCTGCCATATTGGTTTTCTGCTACACCAGCCTAAGCCTCAGAAGAAGAACAGCAACCAAGCTTGGAGAGTGGTGAACCACCAGAGAAAGAAGCCACTTTCCATCATGTCCAGCCTATATGTGGCACTCCCTCCACAGTTGCCAGCCCTGTCCAAATTGTTCTGCTTACAGTCTGCAGTTGTTTTTTCATGGTGCAGTTCCACATCGTCAGAAAAAGTTGCCTGGGAGTGGTGGTATATATTCTAAGCACCAGGTGGGGCTATTAGTATACTATTCCTTAAAACCCTTTTAAAGGTTACTCTTTTGGAGTCCCATTAAAATGACTAAAATCTCCTGAAGCCACAGGGCCTAGGAGTCCAAATAGTATTTTCTTTGTTTGTTTATATGTGACTTTTCAACTAACAGTATGCCTTAACAGTTATCCATTGCAAATGAGAGTATTTTAGGGATAGGCTGGAGGTGTTTATGGCTATGACTGTCTCTTCTGGCCCTGGCAATGGATTACATATTTGGTGTTCCAGGCTCTTCCCCGCAGATGGTGGGGTAGAAGGAACTGAAATGGATTCAGAGAGTGGCTGATAAGGATGCCACCATATAGAAACTGTTTCTCTTGCGAGTGGCAGTATCTTGTGCCTCATGGCAGTTGATGCTGCAGTCCACGTTCCAGGCTCTTCCTTCTGTCTGCAGAAATGATATGGAGGGAAGAAGCTGCAGATTGTCGATGGGCTTTGGGATTGGCTAATGACGGTGACAGCAACCACAGAAAGCAGCCCTTGACATTTGATGTGCCATTTCCCAAAGTTCATTGGGATAAACAAAAGTGGTTTTCTTTATGCAGAAAAGTGTATGCCCAGTTAAAGTTCTTGTGCAATCACATGCATACTTAGCTCCTAGTTCCACTCCACTTTTCCATGGTTTAGTTGCTCTTAAAGATATCCCTGCAATCAACTCTTCTATCCCAACTGTATTTTCTGGACACCTCTTACAGCTACTGTTTGTGTGGTCCTGAGATCTTTTGCTAAGATGCTTCAAGAATAACTTCACTTTTTAATGTAACTTACAACTGAAGAGAAGTAAACTAGAGAAGACACCACAAGCTTCATCAGGGAAGGGAACTAAATTAGAAATATTCAGGCTGCTTAAAAGAGTTGGTGATGCTTGACCAGTGCACATGTTTTCTTTAAGCAGCTTACTATACAAATATCATGGGGAAACCTCTGTTGAAAGCAGAGGGAAAGGTTATGAAGTGATGGCAGCTCATGAAAAAAAAGTGCTTGAATTACAAGAACTGTACCATGTGAAAGACTTAATACTTCAATTTTCAATGGCATTGCCAGCAACAAAGACTGAACAATCTCTGAAGTGATTTTGGAAATTTAATTAATCTAGCTTTAGGAGAGAACTAGTTTTGATTTCTGTCATTTCTGAAAAGGTAGCAGATAACAGGGTATGCAGCTATGCATATGTGCTATTATGTAAGCATTTTTAGTGATGTTTCACTCATATTACAGAAGGAGAAACCTTATTGCACTATAACAAATGTTATAAGTCACCACTTCCGGCTCTTTTATCTAATGTTGGAATGTTCTAATTAATTCTAATGTTATTGGAATTAGAATAGCAATCATACTGTTATTCCACTTTTAAAATAATTACCCGAAATGAGTCTGTTTTTTATTTCCCTTCTCCATACTCATCCAAAACCACCAGAAACTGGGTGTGGGGAGAACCGTGGGTTAGTCCAGAAGCTTCTCCTTTCTTAAGAGCATGGACACAGGAAGAACAACTATGCTGTGCTGACCACCTGTCAGGCAAAGGGCAAGGATACTGGGGTTTGGTGCTCCCTCCAAGCCCCCAAAAGAGCAGTGCCATGTTAAGCCAGCCAAAGCAGGGTTTGGAGGACCTGCCCGTATTCAGGCCTCCCTTGCTCTCAGGAGGGATCAGTGTGAGATTGGTGCCCTTAAGGACAAGGATGCACCACTGCACTGCTAATAACGTCAGGGAGCAAGTGCCTGTACAACCCTTCCCAACTACTGAGACATCAGTTCTGATGAAGAACTCTGTCCAAGGGCAGTAAAATGCATAAGACCTTAATCCTGATGTCCTCCTCCCCTATCTTTAATTTGTTGTTCTTACATCGGCATGGTTGGCAAGTTGATAGGATAGAGGGAGCTCCAGAACTGAAATGGATCATCTTTTCCTGCCATGACACATCACTGCTCTGACACTGCTATCCCCAAACAGCAAGAGAGTTACAACACTGATGATCAGGGTGATAAAGAATGAACCATTAGGTTGTATGAAGCAACACCCTGCTGAGGGCAGGCCTCCTTTCCTACCCTCGGAAGAGCGTTGCAAAAGTGCTGACCCTGAACACTGCTCTCCCTGCACTGATAATATGGTGTCTGAATAGGAAAACTCTGAAATGGCAGGCCAGCATGCTGGCCAGCCAGCTGGCCCACTGACAACTGTCATGAATATTCATGAGTATGCTTTCTGAAGTCTGTTTGAATTCTTCCTTGCATATAAACACCTCCCCGTAGTGTATGGGACAAAATCATAACTACACTGCTTTATTTATTTATTGTAATATTGTCCAAAACAGTTTACAGAATACAAAATGAGTTTGCATTAAAAATACAATAGAAAAACAAAATGCAACAGACCTCATTTTAAGCTAGCTTCTGCTCCATCCACTATCTCAGAAAAGCAAGCTATCTTTACGGTGCTTCTGGCTTATCTCAAGTTGTTCTGGTGAGGAACTTCAATGAATTTGAAATTAACCGTGTGTTAGTCTTTGTGTACAAGCACTCCTGTTGGTAAAACAAAGATTGAGAAACAGGATATGCCCTCTGTCAGCAGAAGGGCTTAGTTCACAGAAGGGCTTAGTTCACTAATTTTCAGGAATCACCCCTTTCCACACTCACCAAAGCTGACATCATCTGCGGGGTCCCCCCAGTTCTCTGGCTGCAGTCACACAAGACAACAAGCAACCCTGTGTGGTCACCATGGCTTGCAGGTTTTTTTTCTTTTTACCATGATCTTTCTGACAGACGATCAAGTAGTTTCTATATAATTGTGCTTTGCATCATCCAACTTGATCCCCCCACTATCGGCATGTATCCTAGCAGCCACTGTGCCTGAAACTTATTTCCAAGCTACGTCTCTCCCTGCCTATGTCACCTGCCTCTACCTTAGTGGTCCATATATAGATGCTAGAGTGACTCCTGCAGATGCCGTTCTTTACAGGATATTCTATGGTAGTCACCATTAGCCTGAGCTCAGGCAATACAACAAAACATCATGGTTCAGAGAAACTGTTGAACAACATGTTGTTTCTTATCATGCTTGCTTAAGACGAAACTTGCCACAGCTGGGTTCGGACAGCATGACAAATCAAGATGGTAAAAACTTCCATGCTGTGGCATGCAGTCTGAATCCATCCTCTGTGTAGTGTTTTCAGCAGGCTGGAAGGATTCTAAGTCTGGATCCAACCCAAGGAGTGTAAACATTACTAAAGTACAATTAGAGAAATTCTAAATGCTCAGTTTCTTTTTTAAAAGCCAGCTTTCAAATACATGGCTCACACTGACCAAGCACTGAATTGAGATTTGAAAAAAAGTCAGTAGCAGGACAAGAAATCCATGCTACCAAGTATCAGGTTCTGTTGAGCTGGCAGCATTTGTGAAACTGTAGCATTAGAGGAAGGGGTAATTTTGTCAGGCAGCTGTCATGGAAAAACCTACTGCAGACATTTACAGACTTCCAACCTCCTACTTTTATTAATTTAATTAAAATTAACAAGAATGGATTTGGAGCAAGTCATTTGAGGACTGTCATCATCAGCATTAACGTAGTCAATAGACTAAGAGAGGAATATATCTCTTTTAAGCAAAAGAGAAAAGGAAAAGTAGAGTGTAAAAACAATGAATATGATTTAAATGGTTAGTTGCAATACAGAGGAGAAGAGTTTCAAGATACCAAGATAGCCAAAGACAACTCACAAACCATTTTCTAGTCCCCCCTGCAAGTATAGAAATTTGGTAAGTGCAAAAGAGACTTGAGGGTTAGTTTAGATATTTGACATAATAGTTGATTGATCTTCAATGTGCAGAGCTCAGTGGGGGGCTACCTGGTGCTTTATGGCTACCACTGCAGACATTCCAAAACAGGAGGCCAAGTCCATCTCAAGTTGATTGCATGGACAAATCTTAGGAGCTGCTGGAATGGTGGTATCTCCCCAGCAAAACCTGGCTACATCACAGATTGTTCAGATATTCCAGCTGACTAAAAAAAATTTCATATAGGGCACCAAAAGAGAGCAGGGACAAAGGAGCACAAAGGGCCTTGACAAACAGTATCACAGCATGTAAAAGAAAAAGCACAGAACTCCAATACTATACCCTTTCTGGTGAACAATTTTTATTGGAATGCTTCTGTAGCTCTCCCTTGGAACCAGGGCTCATAAACAAAGTTTCCTAAAGATGCGACCTCTTAGCCAGAGTTTTAGTGCACCCAACTTTTAATGGGCATTGGCTGGTTTCCAATAAAATAATTAAATTTTGTATACATCTGGGGCTGTCTTACAGTCCACAAAAAGCAAACCTGAATACTGGTTAAACCTCTAGTTTTAACACAAACCAAACTGCAGACTGATACAGTGTTGGGCAAGGAATCATAGCATGTACCTTGAAAACTGTTGAAAAGCGCTAAGCCCCTCCAGTAAAGGGAAAACATGTAATAGCAGTCTGCTTTGCTATTACTTTCTCGACAACATGAAGACTATGGACAGACCAAGATCTCTATAGTTAACTGTAACTCCCAAATGCTTGAAACTTTTGATGATTTATTTAGATTGCAGTGAAAGCCACTGCATTTACTATGCAAATTTTCTTGATAGAGAGTTTGGACAATTGCTGTTTCTGGAGTTCAAGCAATTTTTTTAAAGTTATTTGAAGGTGGTGACCATTCTATCTTGCAGCCTGGTTTTTCTGTCTTTACTAGAACATAAAACCCTTTGTGTTCAGTGGGGTTTTCTACTATGCAGCCCTGGTGAACTAACATCTGTCCCTTACTTGTGCTATAATAAAATAGAGTGTCTGCTAATTTGTAGATGAGGCATCAGGTGGGATGGTATCAAATTAGCAACAGGGCTATAAATAGTGACAAAATTATCCAGTAATTATCCAATATATTGGACATATTGAAAGAAGCCTAAAAGCAGAAAATACGTATTTATTTACAATTGTTTTGGAGATACAATTAAGGATAAAACATTATGACCTTTTCGGGAGGCAGACTCCAAAGTTGCTCTTATGTAGGGAGAGCTAATTTTGAAACACATATTTTTAAATGACAAGAGATTTTTAAAAGTGTTTTCCTACTTCCTGGAAGTATGGTGGGAGAATGGGGATAAAATTGGAACTTCATTGCTGTTTTATATATGAACACTCCATCCTTCTAAAAGAAAACTTACTCCAAATAGCACAAATACAACTGTAGCATTGATAGACCAATCCTTTCCTCTCCCGTCCCCTCCTGTTTCCCTCTTGAGGGGCAAGATACATTACAGGTATGATGTGCTTGAGCTGCTATCAACTTCAGTGGCTTCAGAACTTTCAAAACCAACTTGTAATTTTATCTTCATGTTTTCTGTTTTGGGAGGAAAGGAAGGCAATGAAATAGCATCAGGCAGTACCATCATGGGCTAATGTCACTTTCCTTGCATGGTCATCATCTTCCCTTGCATTTTCCCCATCTTTCTGGCTCATTGGACCTCACAATGATTCTTGGAAGTGAATTAAACAAGGGTTTTTTTGTTTTGTTTTGTTTTTTGCTATACAAAGTACTTCAGATATGTTAGTCAAAGCACCATTTGGGAAATAATTTAGACATGTACACTGCTCAGCTAAAAAGATATCCTGAACCTTCTCTCCCCCTCTTTCTCCTTTTCTGACCTGAGACCCAGCATCTAGAGATCAAAAAAGCAGATTAATGTGGCTTCTGACATTTATCTGAAGAGCATTTCTTTGCCTATATCTGATGGCATTTCACTTGCTTCAGGAAATGAAGCAGGAAATGACACATGGGGAAAAGCAGATAATGCATGTGCACTCTGACAGTCAAAAAGTCAATCTTTATTTGTTTTATTATATTTTTATCCTGCCCTTTTCCCTTGAAAAAAAATCATTGCAGCAAGCTAGCACGTGGAAACTTGTTTTTGGGTGCACGTCACTAATGCTGATTAAGGATGTTACCTCATACCTGTGGAACCACACAGCACGGCCTTTGTATGATGAGGCAGAGAAAAACTATTCACTGAATAGGTTGTCTAAATGATGGGCTTTGTTTAAAATGCCTCTATCTTTCATATGTTTAAAAAAGTATTTAGTATTTTAAAGATCAAGTATTTTAAAATTTCATTTCATTTTTGTATAGGCATGTGATATACTTGGAAATGTAGAGGCTTCACTGCAGCTTCTTAACTCAGAAGGTCCAAGCATGTCTCTGCCAGCAATGAAGCATGAGGAACTGCTGAAGAAAATTCAGAATGGATCGACTGATGCTCTGCAGAAGGGACACACCTTACTCAGCAAAGGAGATACTTGCAGGTGAGTGGAGCATATAAATGAAAGACCTTATATATGTTTGAAAGAGCCTTTCAGGGCTTCTCTACATGAGACGTATAGCCTGGTGCTTTCCTGAGGCTTTTCCTTTGGTTTTCTTTGTGGGAGGATTGCAGCATCCTTCATGTGAGTTCTTTTTCCAAGCATTTTCCTCTCTGCCTTTCTCTGTGTGCCATAAAAGCCAAGGTGATGTTCTGGTATAGTGCAGAATGGCAAAATCACACTCTGCTTCCATAGCAAAGAATAGTGCCACCTAGGAAAATACCAGGCTTTTCTCACTCCGAAAAAGCCACAGAAATGACTGGGAAACTCAGGAGAGGCCCCAGAGGATGTGGCTGTTGTGAAAAGGCCCCACAGGCTTCTGTGAAGGAGGGATCATGCGCGCCCAGTGAATAGAGAACCCTTAGTTGTGATTTACTTCTAGGAAGTCAAACCTCTCGCCCCAGGTCAGTGGCTTTAACCTGAGTGACTTTCCAAAGTTCCAGCTCTAAGTGTGATTATACTCATGCACTCTTATGCTTTCATGGTCAATGTTAATATTTTAATGGAATTTGTATTACTATTTAATTTCACAGTATTTTGCAAGAGAAAACTTCCATTGTAAATTAATTGAATGTAAAAGTTAATTCTCATTTTAGGTGCAAGTTTCCTACCCTAATTGCATGTGATAAGCAATTTGAAGACAAGTGCCTCGAGTCTTTGCATTATTATAAATCAACACCCTGGAGCTCACATGTTTGGAATGATTGTCAGTTCTTTGCCAACTGATGTATTGCTCATTTCTATTTTAAAAAAAACCTTAAAGCATACAGGGAATACTAAATGGGAATTATCCATAGCAAAATGTAACCGGTTTCATAGTTAAAATCAATCCAGATTGCAAATGCAAACTATTCCATAGTTACATTTTTTCCAATCCCATTTTAATTCAGGATCAAATTTTGATAAATTTATTCAAATGAAGTAGTAAATTTGTTCAGATTTCTCATAATATTAGGAGGTAGTGGTGGTGAAACATATCATTAATTTTGGAAAGGAAAATTGTTAGAACAAAATCTGCTGCATTGCTTAGGGGCCACTCCAATCAGGATGCCCATCAACTTCCATACTGAAAGGCTTTTGGGAATCCTGTGCAGAGGAAAAGATTGGCAGACATGATCTCCACCCTCCTGCTCATCCTGCTCTTCCTTCTAGCTGGGGCACTTTGCAGGGGAAGGGAAGAGGGCTGCAGCGGACACAGGATATATCATACAGTCCTCACTGCTCCCCACCCACCAGAATGCTCCCTTTAACCCCTCTGCAATGTAGCTTTCCTCGTCTTGGAAAGGTAGAAGCCATTCCTTCTGCATCAGCTGAATGGGAGGGGTGTGTGTGTGTGTGTGTGTGTGTCTGTGTGTGGGAGGGTCAGAGAATGGATTCCCAACTCAAATGCTGGACCTCTGTTTCCAGTCTTGGATCTCGGATTCCAAAATACCCACCAAATAATGTTTAAGGCCCATAGTAATATTCCCTGCATCTCTGCTGATATGCATTACTATACTGGTATGTGTGTGTTTAATGGTTCATTGTATTTTACACTTCCTTAAAACAATGTTGATAGGAAGCATTGTAAGTGTCTTCATCTGCTTACTACAGTCCAACTTATCAGAAAAACATTAATTATAGTTTTGTTTTCACCTTCAGTTCTTGGATGGCTGGTGTTCAGGAAATGGTAGATTACATTCAGAAAAAAGTAGACCAGTTGATTAAGCAGTGTTCTGCTCACAAAGAACTTGCCTCAAAAAAGCAACATTTAACGACGTCCATAGATGATTATCTCAAGAAGGTACATGAGAACATGCTTCTTCCTTAACAAATTGCTTTGTAACCCATCCTGCAGATTGCTGAATCTTTGGTGAATTAATAGAACATCTTGCCTCCATAATCTACTTTGGAGGACTGGGGGGCTCTAAGCAGACAATGGGAGGCAGTAGGGAAGAGGAGAGGAGGGTCTGTGATGCAAGTGGAAGTCTGCTTGCATGATACTGGGTTTCACCCTCTCTCTCTCTCTCTATATATATCTATATCTATATATAAACTTGGAATCGAGCTATACTAAGCAGTATAATTTCATGGTGAATTAAACATACCACTTTGTTTAAACAAACCCAGATATGGCAGAATGATTCTGTAAAGCCAAATATGGCAGAATATATTCCTAGACTCTTGAAGCCAAGGATATAAAACAAGAAGGGAGAGAAGCTCATCTTGTTTCCCTCCTTTTGATGAATTATTTGTCACATTCCCTAATTTATTTATTTTATTTATTTAAAACATTTTTATGCCGCCCTCATCGCAACAAAGCCTCGGGGCGGCTCACAACAAGAAAAAAAATACAAATATAAATTATACAATAAAAATATTATTTTTCCTTCTCTCTGACACCTCACTTGTTTGTCTATTCATTTTTATTCTGTTTGTATTTTGCTTTTTGGCCTCAGAATAGCTCAATCCTCAAAGTAGCTCACAACATTCAAAAATACAACAATTCCATTAAAAAATCCCTATACTCAAAGTATTGAAACCATGAAAGAAACAGATCCATTAAAATCCTTTTTTGAAGGGAGAAAGAAGAGAAATTATATATTCACACACACTTATAATCAGAAACTGCTCTTGGTTGTGTGATTCCTCTAGAAAATGGAGACAGGACTAGTTGGAAGGGCAGCTCGGATTATGATTATGCCTTCACTTTCCCCCTTCCCTTCCCGCTCCTGATACTCTCAATCTGACATGGCTGCTTATTTGGGCAGGACAGAATCCAACTCCGTCTTCCCCAGTCTCATGTTCTCTGATGTGTAGAACTTTTGTTATTCCCAGGCAGCACAAGCCACAGGAGATGATGGAAGTCATAGTCCCACAGATTTAGATGCCCGTGGTTGGAGAAGGCTGATTCAGAAGAATACATGGCTTGTTTTTCCCCACTCATACTGGTCTTCTGGTCAACCAGTATAAGAACCATTAACAGCATTTAAAGATCTTTTATTGAAAACAAACTTTTTCATATCTAACAATTCATCATTAGTTTTGTGAACTATGTTCAATTAGGCAGTTTTTTCCCTACAAAGTCCATAGTTTAACTAAAACATATCTCAGAAACAAACTTCAAAAATGCCTTTAATCACATTTTGTTTCTTTAAATAGGATCTTCACAAACATTTTTTGGAATCTGATCTTTTTCTTCTGTGGAGAAAGCTACTTGCTCCTTTTAACCAAAACGAGTATTTCCTAATAAAGTTCCCTGCTAACATAAAACACTATGAAAATTTAGATGCTGAAATCAACTCTGGTATTTAGTAGACACAGCTTAATCTAATTTAGACATTCTAAAAATATGCTACAGGAGTGAATTCACATTCATCGTAATGGCTATATATACATCGCAGAATGCCATATCATAAGCAACCATGACCTATTCACTTGGTTAAGAGCATAACTCATGCATGTTATACACTGTTATGCACACAAATTATTCATTCAGGAACTTTGTTAAAAAGTTTTGTTGCTGTTATAAAAATTTAGACAGTTTTTCCATATTGAGATAGCATTTTGTGAAATTTTTGCCTAGATTGCTTTATTTTAAAACCATTACCTCTTAGCTGATAATACAGATGGGTATCTTATTCCCCTGCCTCCACCACTGATGGAAAGCCTTCCCTAAGCAGAAGAGGGAGGAAGCAATTCTACCTTCCCCTTGCAGCTCCTCCCCCCTCACAAAATCAGGTCTGGAAAGCAGATGGTGGCATGCAGGGTGTTGGGTAGAGGAGGGGAAAGTCTCAATGAGCAACTGGAAGCCCTTTGTACAATACTGGGTTCTGGCTACAATAAACACACATTTCAGAAGAGGGATGGAGGAAATGTAGGCAAAGGCAAAAGTTAGGCATTTCAGCATGTATGTAAATTAGGAATGCATAAGGAATCTCTTTTGGGGGTGGGAATCCATCGATTTCCCTGAGTTCAGCTCCCCAGACTGTGGTCCGCATCTTCACAGCCCTGAATCTTAGTTCCCCACAAGCGCACCCAGTGTTTGCACAGCACTCGCCAGGAATCAAGCCCCATGAACTGTGCAAGCAGCCTTCCTTTCCCATGCCACATGCAACATTGTTTGTGCTGCTGCGCCTGACATGGAAGAAGCTTGCAGGTTGCCAAGCCTCTGTTCTGCAAGCTTTGGTGGACCTCCTCTTTGCTCAGCTTGCTTTGGATCACCAGGCCGAGCATGAGAGCAAGTCTGGGGATGCTGGACGGATGAATGCCACTCAGTTTCATCCCAACTCTAATGTAAATTTATATGTGTTCCCGTGCAAACGTGTGTGTGCGTGCATGTGTGTGTGTGGTCTTATTCACACATAATGTGATTTGCAAAATAGTTCACATACAGCAATGAAACATAATAATTTATTTAAAAATGTCTATCCTGCCTTTTCTCCTAAGAACAAAACAGTATGCCAAGTAGTGTGCTATTACCTTCAAGTAATACTAGATATTTGCTTAAACCTTGAAGGCTTCTACAAAGATTAAAAACATTGGTCCAATACTGTCTGTTGCGATGAATCCTGGATCTTCTGTGCCTGAATCAGAGGAAGTCTTGAACAAATATTTAGAGCTGGCAAATCAAACCAAGGTAAATTAGGCTTTTCTTGCACCATAATTTGTTTTTAACTGTGTTTAACCATGTGCATTTCCCAGGGTGTTTCAAGAATTCCTTGATTTTCCACAGTAGCCTAACAGAAAGCTGGTGCAAGCATGGAACTGCACATTCTTCCACACAGTCTGGAAGCAGGGCTAGCCCTATCATTAGGCAAGATGAGGCAAGTGCCTCAGGTGGCAGGTGGGAAGCAGCAGCAGGGACCTCATCTGTCCATCCCCAGCCATTCTCATCTGTTGGAGGGCAGGTCTGTGTGTGCCACATGGGGTGTAGTTCAGGATACTGGTCTTTCAGTTGCCTGTCTGATTGGATTAGAACTGTATGCAAGAGGAGGAAGGGAGGAAGTCTTGTCCTGGGCCTCAGGTAGCAAGGATTCTTGCCGCAGCCCTGCTTGGAAAAATCATGCTTTACAGTGGCCATAGCAGGAAGAAGACATTGTGGGAAATACTGTTTCAAGACAGCCCTGTATGGGAGAAATCATCCATAGGCTGGCCTTTAGGTTCCCTTAGTCCGGGAATTATCAGCATTGTATTATAACTATAATGGCCCTAAGCTAGTGGACATGGTTATACATTGAGGCAGTATTTCCATCTGAACATATGTGGGATTGTAACCTTACCCCAGTTTTTGAAAGGTTAATGTGAATGTGCACATAATATGTTACTTTCCCTGTTTATGCTACTGTAGGAGATGGCGAATGAACTGGAATTAGCTGTACGGATTTTTAAGGAGATGGAAGAATTTGAAACTACAGATGTTACAGCTTTTTCTAACAAAACTGACCTTCTGAATGAAGAGCTGACGACACTGAACAGAAATATTAGCTTGAAACTGGAAGTGCTGAAGCCTTATGTAGCTTTTTTAAAGTCATCAAATGAGGTAGCTATACAAATGACATTAGAAGAAATATAGAATATGTCACCTTTATTTCTTCCTCATGGACATTGTGCATCACACATATAGGCCAGGTGTTGTGCAGAACCTGGCTTCCGGAAGTTTCTGTAGCTGAGAGAGAGTCACGGGAGTCCCTCCCCCACCCTCAGTGACCCATCCCTCAGTTCTAATTACCTCAGAAGGAACTGTGGAGTGCCTCCGATTTTTCAAGGGTAAACCCTCCACAGGTTGAAATAAGTACCAGAGAACTCACAAAACAGTTAAAATTCATGAATGCATCCCTCTCAGGTCTACCTAGTTTGACTGAAAAGGGAGAGGGGGGAGAATGAGTCCTTGCTTTATCAGTCTATCTACAGGCCAAAATCAAATAATCAAAAGGCCTAACATAAATACTCAGAAGAGATTAGCTATATTTATGCATTTCTATCTATCTCTTTAGGTTGAAGATGATGCTCAGAGGCTGAAAAAGTTCTATATAACAGAGCCTTTGCAAGAAGACATTGAAGCTAAAAATGAGGCCTTGGTACAGTCAGCAGACGTCCAGTGGCAGATGGTTTTGAAGAAGATTCTTTCCACTCAAGATATGGGGCATGACTTTTTAAATTTAGTCAACATGGTGAGGCTATCACTAACACTCCACTGACACCAGCACTGACCCACCTTCCCCATCAAAAATCTTGGTGCTATTTTTCCCAAATCTTTTCAAACACAGTAATCCTATATGCGCTCACCTTGAAGTAGACTGTACTGAACAGACAACAGGACCTACTTCTTAGCAGGAATGTATGGGACTTAGTCAACATGCAGTGGGAGTTCTTTGTATGCAAATGTTGAGGGTGAAGGAAATAACATTTTAAGGGGGGGCTTCATGTGAGATACTAAACGACTAAAAATTGTTAATTTTTCCACCTGCAGAAAAATGAAGTTTGTTTACTCTTCATTTAACAGGTAAATGACAATCTAATATTGAATGTGGAAAATGTTGTACAAGTAACTGAACATACTATTGATATTCTGAACAAAGAAAAGGACGAATTGACAGAGCTTTGGACAACATGGAAACTGAATATGAATCAAGTGAACTCCATCAAACGGCAGTGTGGGAAATTTAATGAGCAATTTAAAAATGTAAGTGCAATCTACATAATGATTATTCCTGTCTTTCTGCTTGTGGTTTTCATGTTTTCAAGAGGCCTTGCCAGTTGTCTTGATTTTTCCTGAGCAGATTAAAAAAAAACAGTTAAAAGACAGCTGAACTACTAGTCCAAATAACTGCATATCACTGGGACTTTGTTGAGGTCACTGGCTGCCTTTGCTTTCAGTGTACCCAGAACTATGTGCCTTCCTATTTCTCCAGATGCTTCTAAGTTCTTCTAGCCTTCACCGTATCTGGGGCATCTTTCTTCTGTTTGTTGGCAGATTTAAAGCTTACAAGCATTCCTATACAGACCACTCAGAAGTAAGCCCCATTGAGTTCAATTATACTTAACTCACAAGTAAGTGTTTGTAGAACTGAATAGTAATATATATAGTCTGAACAAATATAACCAAGAGGAAGATTCTGGAAGGCAGAAAGATAAAGCTACCACCTAAGCAACTAGCACACTTTTGCCTACTAACCCCTGGATGCTCCTTTTGAACCTGATTTAATTCTTTTTATTATGTTTTAACAATTAAGTATTTATCTGTTCTTTGAACATCTTAACCTTCTGTTGCACTCCCATCTTTAAAACCTACATTTATCTGAATGTGTTGTTTAAGATGGACAAGTTTTCACTCTTGTGCCATTCTTCTAATATCATGCAGAGATTTAATTTGTATTTTTCAAAAATGTTTAAACTTTCTTGCTTTTTTAACATAATGTATTCCAAAATAAACATTCACATATAGTTCTGTTATTTATTGTAGACCACACAAAGCCTAAACATTCTTCAAGAGACACTCAAGTCCACCAGAACACTTGATCTTGGAAGCAACCTTTCAATACTTGTAGAACTTCAAAATACATTTAACCAAATGAAACCACAATTTCAGGTGAGAACAAGAAAGTATGTGACATCCCATGTAGAAAAATTACTTCTTAAGACTTGTTCCTTCAAATACCTAAAACAAATATTTTACTTCATGGTAAATTCTGCAGACATGCAGAGCTAAATAATTTCAACACCAGAAAGGGCTTAGTGTTTTTGATATGCCAAACATGCAACAAAATGAACACCAATAGTTCAATGAACACCAGTTTCTACATTTTTATAGATTTATTTTAAAAAATTAAAAGGTTAAACCTTATACTATATATAATTTTAAGTCTACAAGCATTTATAAACTGGATATATTATTACTAAGTAATTTTGCATGCTTTTTTCAAGTATATATTATGCACATTGCATCACCTCCATATTGGTTGATTCAGTTTTTGATACTGGGGATAGACACAAAGATAGAAGTCCATAAAACTACTATTCAGTTTTTCAAAAGAATAATGTTGGAAAATGTACAGTATGCATAGTGATGACATGTTAAAATAACTTTTCCAACACTGTTTATAAAGTTGACATGGTATATGCCAATTAGCAAGAGAAACAGAGGAGAATTGGCCTAAGTAGTAGAGGTATCAAAGCCATCTTCTAATTACATTTTGCTGCTTCATAAAATATGCACACAAATGTTTGCATATAGTACATATATTTCATATATACTGTATACTAGGCAAGGAGAAGTTCTTTCAGAAGGCTGAATCTGCCTCTCAGGGACATAGGGACAGGTAGAAAAATACAAAAGGAAAAAAAAAACCCTCAGCATTTTCATCCTTTAGAATGGGGGAAACTGCACAAAAACCACAATGAATGGTTGAAGAAAAGGGGGTGTGGCCATAGGAACTGGACTTGGCTATCTGGACAACCACAGTGGGCCAGATTCAGTCCCTGAGAGTGATGTGCACCTTACCTGGTACATAATATGTTTAATACAGTAAGGACTGGCAACTTTCAGAATTTTGGGGGGGGGATGCTGCCTGCCCCCATTCACATCGCTCCACAGGCTGCACCCCTTCAGGTTCCAATGGTTTTTCATATAATTATCAGGAACTGCTATGGCACACCAAAATGTTTAAAATATTTTTTGGGATGTCCTGAATTTAAAGTGGTGACAGAAGATGCACTGGAGGGTTTGGGGGCTGTATGTTGCCCATCCCTGGTATACAGTATCTACAAACATTAGTGTGTGCATTATGTAAAGAGGCAAAATGTAATTAGAGAATAATTTCATGACATTTTTTCCATGTAGGTCAATTTTCCTTTGCTCCTCTTGCACTGTTAAAAATCAGGATGGACTTAAACCTGAAGCACCTTCTAACTTTTTGTTTTTCCTTCTACCTAAGCCAAAGGCAAGAACTAGATGATCCATGTCATTCTGCCATAATCCAGTCCATAAAGACAACCATAATCCAGTCCTCAAGGGATGCTTGAGGAATGTAATATTTGTGAATCCCAACACATTTTGTTACAACACATTCTAAAATGTGTATTTCAGTAGAGAACATGCTTGTAAACACGAATTGTGAGAAAATACATTTTAAAATACACATTTAAATACATATTTAAATGCAGTTTTCCATGCAGAGATTTTTTTAAAATTGCAGTTTCATGCGCACACAGGACAGAATGCCTGGAAATGTGGCATGGACTGGAATCAGACTGATTTGTCCATTCGCAGTGTGAAAGGTGCAGTATGGATTAGATCCCTGCTTTTAAACTCTGCCCAACTATTGGACCAATAGGATACAAAGCATAGCAAGCAAGCAGGCAGTTCCATGCTTAATATGAAAGCAGCTGGTGGGGCAGAATTTGGAAACACCCAAGCCTTCATCAGTACCCTCACAGTTGTGTGGCTCTAAATACTGGGTGCCACAGCAAAGGGATACATGGATCAGTGCAAGTAACCAAGCTGGTAATAGTTTTCATTCACGAAGGCATGGCTTCCCAGGCTCTTGAGCACAGCAGGGGCGAGGAAACTGCTCAGATACAGTGGACAGTTGGACTAAATGTCAACGCACTTTCCTTTGAAGTCTGAATAATCTTGTTATATCTCATTTGTTAGCAACTCAATGTTGAGGTGGAATACACATTAAAGTTATCAGAGCAGTTGAGCTTGAAAGGAGTTCCGGACATGGAGAAGTCAGAGAAAGTAAGTGAACTTAAGCATCTCCATAAGGAGATAAAGGAAAGGATGGCAGAATATGATGACATTTTCAACAAGACAGTCAGATTCCATCACATCAAAGAAGAGGTAAGTATAGTCAGCTTTAACCTCACAGAAACTTAACTGTCTCACAGCTATGCATCTATTCATCTGTATGTTTTGTCTTTCTTGTTGTGCCATAAATGAAGACAACAACAATAACAATATCATCAGATCTAAATTTGTGTCCTAAATGGATCCCTGATAGTTTGTGGATGTTAAGGGGAAGAATGGTTGTTAATAAAACATGTATTTATGTCCCCAGCTTGAAGATCTCATAAAATCAGCAGGATTAGACATCGCAGAATTGAAAGATGTGCCAGGTGACACTCCTCATGCTAAAATTCACCTGAATAATGCTCAGGAGAAGCATGCACATATCAGGCACCTGTACAAGATGGTGCTCACGCTTGGAATGGATATAATTTCAGCCGCGAAATATACTGTAAGTCAATGCCAGAGCAGGCCCAGTATTGGAACAAAGTCCTGCATTACTCCTGGATGAGGATATTTACAAGAAAGCCAGAGGTTGAACTGGACATTTTGCCATTTCCTATTTTATTGTCTCACAATGGTATACTCAGTGGCAACTACTATGAGTAAGCTGTGGTAATTTATAAGTCCCTCCCCCTCAACAGCCCAGCCACCACAAGTTGAATCCAAAGTTACACAGCTCAGCCAAGATCTTGATCAGCAAGTATCAGAAGGAGCCAATAAACACAAATGGAGATAAAATAGTTATATAGGATCAGTGGATCAGGGTCCTGAATCAGTTCTGGATGGGATTGCATTCCTCCTTAAGAAGCCATGTGATAATTCATGTTTGAGGAACTTGATCCTTGAGAAGGTGTGCAACTTTTGCACAGTGAATCTGTGGAACGAAGCACTTTTTATTGGCTCTTCTGGACAGCAAACCTGCTTATCGCAACAGTTAAACCATGCCCCCATAACATACAGGATTGGTTACGGCAGTGCATTGTATGAGGGCTGCTCTTGAAGAGTGTTTGGAAATTGCAGTTGGTTCCTACTATGGAGAACAAGTGGCTAATTAAAACAGTCTGATGGGATCAGAGATATGAAGGCCCAAAACATCTGAAACAATAAGCAAAAAGGCTTTTTGTTTGGTTTTTTTCCCCAGAAAAAACCTGGGATTTGGAGGAAAAACATTTTGGCTCCCCCTCACGCCCCAGGGAAAACATCGTGTTTCATTTGGGGAAACACATACTGGTGGGGGGGGGGGAGATGTTTTAATCCCTCCTTTTCCCTCAGGTCCCCATGCTCTAGATCAGGGGTCCTCAAACTTTTTCAATAGGGGGCCAGTTGAAAGGCGGCGACTGCCGTGGGCAGGTGAGGCAGGGGTGCTTGAGTGCGCGGGCTGGTGAGGTGGCATCAGGCACACGTGAGGAGGCGTCGGGCATGCGCTGTGGCGGCTCACCTGCTCGGAGATCTCCCAGCAAGTCCAAAACCATCTCCGAGCGAGCAAGCCACCGCATCCCCGCCCACGCGGTGAGGTGAACGTGTGCACGGGCAGCAGTGCGGGCTGGATAAATGGGCATGGCAGGCCGGATCTGTCCCACGGGCCATAGTTTGTGGACCCATGCTCTAGATGGAACACATCTCCCTAATATTTAAAGATAAACCTTCATTGTGTGCCCACTTTATTTCCAAGTACATCCAAAGTTCTAGTTTTGATCAACCAGACCCTTTATCTTTAGCCCATGCCTTGCTCACAATCTACATAGAAACTTCACCAGCTACCGCCACCCTCTGGATAAAGGCAGGTGATGGCCAGAGGTAGAACCTTAGTAAGGGGTCCCAGTTGTGGATGTTCTCCCCAGGGTTAGGTTTTTAGTACCAGATAAAACAAGTGCTTATGCCATGATTTTGCAGCCTTGATGTATTGGGAGTGTCTTCTGCTGTTTTCTTCGTGTGCCTACTTTTTCTTTTTTACCATATTTGTATTATTGTTATTTTGACTTTCATTATAATGTTATTATTTTTGCACTTTGTGGTTTGATCTGTTAGCTGCTTTGAGAAATTTGAGCAGCACGAAGGGAATTGTTATTTTTAAACAAAGAAACAAACAAACAAGGTCAGCTTGATCCAGGGCGAAAACCCATCGTTTGAGTAGATTTGTTTATTATTATATTATTTATTCTTACATTTCTGTTCTTCCTTTTCCCTCTTGGAAGGAACCCAAGACAACTTATATGGGTGTCCTTGCCATTTTATCTTCACAATAACATTGTGAATATGTTTGGCTAAGAGTGAGTGATTGGTTCAAAGTCACCCAGTGACCTTCATGGCCATGTAGGGACAAGAACCCAGAATTCCTAAGCCCCAGTCCAACAATCTAACCACTGCACAATACCACCAGCTTAAATGTTAGTGATCTGTAGCAGCAGGAGCTTTTGTTTATGCATATATCAAAAAATAACACAAGGTGTGAATTGGCTGAATTCAGAGCTCATTTATGGCCAAAGTTCAGTTTGTTGCTACATAGACAGATGCAGACTGAATCCCATATTTTCACATCTTACCCAAATCTAGTGGATCAACCTACTGAAAAAAATAATCTTAGTGTGGTTTGGTGGTTAGCATGTTGGACTGGTACCTGGTACATCTGGGTTCTAGTCCCTACTTGGCCATGGAACTAATTGGGTGACTCTGGGCCAGTCAGAGACTCTCAGCCTAACCCACTCACAAGTTGGTTGATGTGAGAATAAAAAGATGCTATGTAAGCCTCCTTGTATTCTTCAGAAGAAAAGGTGGGATATAAATGCAGTATAAATAATAATATCTTAAAAATGTATTTTTAACTGATGTATGTGCTCTTTAAAGTGTGCATCTTGCAGATCCAAATGTTCATTGACTCAGCTTGGTTTTTGCATCTCATTCTAGAATTCCTTTAATGTTTCTGTAAAGAACCTACAGCAGCAGCTGGATGCCCTTGAAAATGACAGCATTAACTGGAATTCCAAGGCTGAAAAGCATGAGGAAGAGCTGTCACACATCCTCTATTTCTGCACCAAAAGAGACGAGATCCATGAGGTCTGGTGAAAAGAGCACATTAAATGATTGAAAGCTCTTGTGTCCTTTGACTTCTTGCTGTTCAGTTGTTTCCATAGGTGTTTCCTAGCTTTCTGTTTAAACTTCTGAGGAGTATGTGATTCACGAACCAGTTCTAGAGATGGCCTGCATGCTTGTCCTAGAAGTAAATCATCACTTTTGCTTTTGCCAGGCATTTGTGTTCTCCAAGAAAGAACAGTGGGTTGGAAATGATCATGACTAAACTGGCCTTGGAACCAATCTAAGCAGAATAAGGTGGTAGCCCAAGGTATAGATTGTACTACCTCAGACTACAGGCAGGTGTTGCACTTTTTAGTTATGCCCCTCAGATAATTAGTTATCTACATGTAATAAAGTATTACATCACTAGAACTACTCTAAACCTTTATTTCTGATGTATTCACTTATTACATCATGGGACACATGTATGGAATGTGTCATTACACTGACACATGCTCCAACACTAGTTCCACATGGTACATTCTGGGTTTCTGTTTTCATCTGGTTCCATTCACTGACATAGGGCTCAAAAGAGAGAAACATGGGGGGTGGGGAGTCAGAAGGGGCCTCCTGGGCCATCTAGTCTGATTCCCAGCTCTGCTAATGTTATCCCCAACATATAGTTGCCCAATCTTTCCTTGAATACCCTCACTGATGGCCTCAAATCACTTCCCTTGGAAGCCCATTCCATGTTCTTGGGATCCTAACCAAAGTACTTCCTGACATCCAACCTGAAGTGTGGTTCCTTGAACTTTGCCCCATTGGAATGCGTCCTGCCTTCCACTGCAGGGAAGAACAGGCCATGGCCCTCCTCCACATGACATCCCCTCACATACTTATAAGCCTCTAGAAGATCCCCTCCTCTTCCCCTCTTCTCCAGCCTGAAAAGACCCAATCTCTCCTTGTATGTCATCCCTCCCAACCTGGCTACCATTCTTGTGACCCTGCCCTGAACTGATTCTAACCTAGCTATGTCTCTGCTATAATGAGAATTCCCTGAAATGGACACAGTAGTCTAGTTGTGGGTGCACCAGAGTAATGTACAGCGGTATCAACACCCCCCCCCCCCCAGATCTGGAAGCCACGCTTCTGGCTATACGTCCAGTGCTGGCATTTGCCTTCTTAATCACTGCGTCACACTGCTGGGTCATGTTCAGCCTGCTGTCAACAAGTACCCTGAGATCCCTTTCACAAGTCCTGCTCTCCAGCCACTTGTCCCCCATCCCATACCTGTGACACCTATTCCTACATTCCAAGTGCAAGACTTTGCACTTATCCACATTGAATGCCATCCTGTTGTCCCTCGCCTGCTTCCACAACCTGTCCACCTGCTCCTCAATTGTGGCCACTGGCCCCACTTTGGTATCATCTGCAAATTTAGTCAGCATATCTGAACTGAAGCTGAATCACCTTCTCACAGCATAATGGTATGAAAAAATGTGTGTTCCTTTCAAGAACATAGTTGGAAGCACATATGCTACTCACAGATGCTACTTAATTTTGTATTAGCTTCTTAATGATTAATGATGTTTACACAGGAGCTGAGAATGTCTGAAGTTTTGGACATTCCCTCTTACATTTTTTGGAGGGTTAAATAGGTGATCCCCACTGCTGTATTATAAATTTCTTCTAAATCAAGATTACCTGATTTCAAAAATGGCTTGCCATGGCACATGAAGGCTGTACTGTTCAAAAAACACAGTTCCTTTGGGAAGGTTTTTTGGATCCTGGATAATATTTTATGCAGGTAACTACCTATATTTTTGTTCACCTTTCATCTTGTTTGAAACCTCAACTTCTCTGTGTTAGGTATATGGCATAGGGTTTTTGATCTTCTAACTGAATTCCAAGGGTAGGCCCATATGTTTAAGTATTTTCAATCTGGTTTTATATTTATTTTGCACAACGGGAACTGTCCTCAAGTAGATTTTCTTATCCACATCCAGGGGTCCCATCTTGTAATTTTACCTCTGCTAATTAGCCTGTTTGGCCTCTGCAAGCCTCCTGCATTGGACAGGGGAATTGAATGCAACCTCTTTCTCTTGCCTGTTAATGCCTTCTCCTTGATGAACCTGATTGTCCTGGGCTCAGTCCTACAGGAGTATGAAACTCAGCATCACAAGATCTTGTGCATTTCAACCCAGTCACTCAAAGCTTTTGTTTTTCCCCAAAGAAGTTGCTGTATGCAGAATTTAAAAAGAACTTTTCTGCTGATTGATGAAACTGTTCCTCACCGCAAACAATGACCCTATGCTTCCTTGATGACAGGAATCTAATACTACTCTGATGTAAACATTTAAGAAGCAGTGTGTCCAGGTGTATGACTTAAATCTCATAATGCATGCACACAAACACGTTCAAATCCCATCTAAAATGACACCTTTTTGTAATATAATTTATTGGAATTTATGTAAAAGTGAGTGGGAAAGTATGAAAACCCTCTTTACTAAATAGTGTTCATGTAGAACAAAGGAAAGAAGAAATTGGAATCATTTGCTATATATCTTACTTGATTTTATAGTTAATATTGTGGGTTTATTATAAAGTGCAATGAAAACCTTTTTCAGTAAGTCTGTATGTTTCGGGGAGTTACAAATTCAGTAAATAATCACGTTAGTTGTCTCCTTGCAATTTATCTCTTTTCCCTCCGGATAAAAACATGTATCAAATAAGTTTAACTGCCTACTACACAGATGCAAACAAATATTTCAGTTCCAGTATCAGGAGGAAGTTGAATATACTCATTGAGCAGGACACAAGCAGCCTCCAACTAGTTTAATTGGAAAAAATCCAGTTAATTGTCACAAGCAGGTGTTCTTCTCATGCATGGAGATTTGTAAGCTCTTCCTGGAAGCAGCAAATGACCATGGCCCTCAAGGTCAGACAGCCCTCTGTAGCAACATTCATTGGAGCAACACAATTTTGCCTTGCCCTCTGTGCTTGCAAGCTGGAGTGGATCTTGCCCATTTTCACAAGCTGAACATGAGCTAGTAGTGAGATGCAAACAAACACTAATGCAATCTTGGCAGATCCCAGTATCCAGCTCATGGGAAGTAATAGTTCTGTATTGGTCAGGTTACAGCTAGTATATTGTGGCCACAGTTTGAGGAATGCACTGACAAACTGGAATGGGATGGTGAGGGGTCTGGAAGCTATGTCCTGTGAGAAATGAATGGAAGTGCTAGATAGTTGCTAAAGAAGAGAACAGGAGACAGTCTGCAAATTCTGAAGGTCTGTCATGGGGTTTGCTGTTGCTCCAGAGGGCAAATTGTAAGGAAACGAATATCGGCCAACTATTAAGAAATATATTTTAAACATTAGAGCTGTTTCACAGTGGGACAGACTACTCTGAGATGTGGCAGGCTTTTATTTGCTGGAGATATGTAAGCATAGCTGTCAGGGATGCTGTTGTTGCATCTGGCACTGAATTCCAAGGTCCCTTCCAGCTCTGTGCAAAAATACACAGCAAAAATATACTATTCTGAATGCCAATGCAAACTGGAAAGAAATGATTAGTCTTGCTTGTAGATCATCTCAGTTCAGGCTTCCCATGACTTGATGTCTTTTTGAAGAGTAGTTTGCCCCATCTACCCATCCACCCTCAGCAACTTCTTCCCACACAGGAAAACTACAACCCTGCAAAGCAGCTGTCAGTGTTCTAAATTTCTCTTACTAGTTTGGGCTGCCTTACGTTCATGCAGCCCAGCAGTCAGTTTATACACGTGGTCCTTTCTCAGTATACATTTAAAGTGATTCCCCAGGTGTCTTTATTTTGGAGAAAAGTGGGCACTTTTTGTTTCTTATAACCATATCAACCAGCTTAGTGAAACAGTTTTGTCCAGTGTCATTAAACAGTTCTTTATTATATTCACCTTCTCTGATAAATCACAGCACTTGTAATCAAGCATCTCACATATGACAGCACAGCTATAATCTAGAAATTATGGCTGTAAAATCCTAAAAAAAAGAAAAGAAAAAAATACATAAGGGCTAAAGGTGGTTATAGTGATGCATGGCATTTTTCAATAAATTGATGGGAAAGTGAGTGGTCCATTTAAATGAACCAGTTTCCCCACCCATCACGTTGTAATTATACAGTGGTACCCTCATAGGACTCCCCTTTCAAGAAATTCAGTGCATAAATGAACTCCGTTAACCAACAAGATTGCCATTACAGTAGCCTTTTCTTGAGCACCCAACACATAAAACTGACACTTCAGAACACTGAACACTGTCCAAAGCCTGCTCAATTGGAAATGTCACACTGAAATCAGTAGGGTCTTACCACACGTAGGGCTGATGTATTAGAGAAATGTCATAGTAACTAGATTTTAGATGCAAGACACTTCTTTTCTTAACCAAGAAGATCCTCTCTTCCAAAAAAGTTTTTTAATGATCACTGGCATATCAACATAACTATTAAATGGAACACTCTTGCTGATTTAAGATTCAGCTTAGAGATTTCCCCATCCCAAAAGAATAAACATTTTATGCTCAAGGACCTGCTTTTTGGAGAAGTAGGTAGATTTGACTAAATGGAAATCAGTTTCTTGGTAGATCTTGTAACCATTAGTTTCTCCTTAAGATAAGTATAACTCCTTTTATACTGAAAACTATAGTTTGTATTAAGACGCCTTATTTATAATTCAAAGTAAAGACAACACTCCATTCCCTCACACAGTTTTTTTGAAGTATATATTTTGCATTGGTATGAGTGTGGATCACATGTTCAGTATCTATTCATTATTCTTTCCCATCCAATTTATATAAAAGTATATGTGGAGATATAAGTTTATCTTCACAACAATTCTGTGATAACCTAGGATGAGAAACAAATTCTCCAGTTCCCTGAAACAAATAAGAGAAACCTGATTATGGAAGCATTCCAAAGGTGCACCTGGAACTCTGTTTGGATCCTATCACTTGCCTTAGCTAACCTAGTGAGAATAAAGTCTTGGATCTGTGTCTTGGAGTCTCACATCCAAACCCAGCAACAACATTATTCCTTCACTATGTTGTGCGGGAATGGAATTTGAGAAATTGGCAGTGATTGTTCCGCTCTCAGGTTTCCACAATTCCCTGTTGAGGGAAGGAAGGAGATTGACAACCTCATGTTGTTTTCCTCCTCCATGACTCTCACTCCATAGCAGAACTGCCATGAGTGCCTTTCCAGTTTCTCCTCTCTCTGCGTTTATCATTGGCTTCCCAGTCAGGCCCACTTCCTGCTTCCTTTTCCTTGCTTGCCGGTAGTCATCTTGTACCCTCCTCTTTATTCATGAGGAGCTGTATTTGATATATTCCAGTTGCACAAATGCATGCCTACTTGCCTCCCTCCAAGAGGTTGACTTCTGCCCCCCACAGCTCCACCACCAGGGTCGAATCTGCTTTCCCCTGCATCAAAAATAAATACAAGTCCAATCCAGGAAGATCAAGTAGACACAGTATCTCGAGTCCATGAAAATGAAATCATTTGGGACTATTTGGATATAAATCCATTAAGAAATGCTAAAAGAAAGTGATTTTGAAAATCCTTGAAAATCATGATTTTATCTGCTACCTGTGTTATCGAAAATAAGAAAGTAGAGCTCAAATGGCAAGGCCAGCAAAAAACAAAACAAAACAAAAAACCACCACACTGCCTGCCACCAAGTGGAATGAAAGATGATCTAGAATACATTCCAGAAACAAATGCAGTCTCCACTCCTGATTGTAACTGGAATGGGGAAGTACCAAAGGAATATCAGTTTCAGTCTGCGTCCGCCCCCCCCCCCCCGTGTGTGTGTGTGTGTGTGTGTGTGTGTCTAATTTTATAGTAGGGGAAGAACCTTGCAACTCACTTCTACATCTAACAGCATCATACAGGAAAGTTCAGTAATATTAGCATGCTTGACACATATATAGTGGAGTCACAAGTTGTGGCATATATGTGTTTTTCAAATTAGTGATAACATAACATTAAATATTTCCACATGCTATTTTTGGATATTTGAGCTTAGTAATTAAAATGCTTCTAGAGTACTATGCAAATTAACAGAAGAATTATTTGAAGTGCACAAAAATTATAAGCTGCATGGTTTCCCCCCCACAAAGAGATTATCTTTATTGTGGAACTATCCCATGTACACAGATGTTTTAGGCTGTACACTTAGTCCACTTTAGAACACTGTCAACATTTCCTTTTAAAAAGTTACAATTTCTTTTCAGCTCAGAGAATCATTTAAAGACCTCAAAAAGAAATTCAACAACATGAAATTCAACTACAGCAAGAAAACTGAAAAAGCACGAAATCTGAAAGCACTAAAGATCCAGATTCAACAAGTTGATGCATATTCTGAAAAAATGCAGGTAACAATTAAAGTAGTTGAGTCACTATGAGCATAAGACTTATCTCAAATGTGCACAGATATGACTGGCATCATTCATCAGATATTTTTTTTCGATTGCAGCTGATGTAATACAACACCAAGGCCATTCGCCTTTTTTCTTTTGCTAATTGGCTTACAGTTGTATGCACATGTGCTTTGATTTCAAAACTGACTCTACGTTTCATGTATACTTTTCTTCCAAATGTCTTATAATTCCATTTATTGTGTTGTATAATCTGATTGCTATTGTCAGTCATACTGCTAATTTAACAAAACCTAAAGTGCGAGGGAGAAATCTATGAAATCATGGTGAAATGCAGAGCAGAATTGCAAGAGCTTCTCTTTCAGAGGGTAATTTTCTGATTTTCTGGTGATGATGTCCAGAATTCCCCCTGCCCCCCATGTTGAATATATTAATAAATCTCTAAAAATTCCTATTTTGTTCTTTGGGTCAGGTACTGAAGAAGAAGACAGAGAATTTAAAGAAGACAATCTTAGATTTCTTAACAACTCTGCCAAGTGATAAAGCTGGGGTGCTTCCGCAGTCCATCAGTGAATTAGAAAAAAATCTGAATGAATTTGGCAAGATAATGGGAGATTACAAACACAATTTAGATCTTATGGAGCAGCTGCAGCAGATGATGGAAGAGGTATAAGAAAACCACACATGCATTTTGTAAGAAGCCATTTCGGAGGTTTGGAACAAACTCATGAGTAGTATCAGTCAGTTACCATCCATCATTTAGCTGTTTGAATGCTAACAGTGATTTTGTGTAAAGAACCCAAAGTTCAATTAATACAATAATTTCTATTTATAGAGCTATTAATCACTAGATTTTAAGATTTGTTTATTTACTCAAATATATAGACAAAACTTTCTACCACATGAGAACTCCCAGGTCAGACTGTAATAAACCAAATGCACACTAAGCTCAATGAAACACTACCAGCCCATTTTCACTTCAGTCATGCTTTGAAAAAGTATATATAGGCATGACCAGTTATATCAGAATGCAGTTGGGGAACTGTATTTGGATGTTACCCTCACCAAAAAGCAATGTTATGAGGACAAGTTGCATGCACTTTTGGGTATATATGTGCATTTACAACACATTTATACCTTTGAGTCATAGTTTAGAGAGAGAATTCATGGAATCTTGCTTAGGGATACAAAAGGAACTGATGTTCACAGTTCTACTTAATTAGATTGCAGTGAAAAACCCCATATCAACAAAACAGCACCTGCACAATAAGAATAAACAATAACAGCAGCATCAAAGGCAACCAAATAAAACCCACCAAATTCTTTAACAATCTCCAAATACCTTGTGAAGAAAAGTTTTCACTCCTCTTTTTAAATATCAGGGGAGCCAACCACAGGAATCTTCTCATGGAAGGAGCTCTACTGAAGGGGGTCACAGCAGGAAAGTCCCCCCCGCCCACCATAATTGCCAATTTCACCTCTAAGGATGAAGAAAAGTTTTCACTCCTCTTTTTAAATATCAGGGGAGCCAACCACAGGAATCTTCTCATGGAAGGAGCTCTACTGAAGGGGGTCACAGCAGGAAAGTCCCCCTGCCCACCATAATTGCCAATTTCACCTCTAAAGGATATAAGCCAGGCTTGCCCAGATGCAGGTAGCTCAACCTGGTACCCTCCAGATGCATTGGTTTGCAACCGCCATGATCTCAGCAAGCATAAGTTCTGCCTGTGCTGACTGAGGATGACAGGAGTTGTAATCCAACATATCTGGAGGGTACCAAGTTGAGGAAAGCTGGCACAGGCAATCCAGATGAGGTTTTATATAATTTGGGTAAGTAAGTAGTTCTTACAGAAGAATGCCTGGCCTATGATATCCTATGGTATCTTGGTGCATTATCATAAGGAAAGAGATCTTGGTCTCTGAATTTGGACAATGTTTGGAAAACAAAATTGTCTGTATACACTTTTGCACATTCTTAAAACATTATATTTATTCACAATACATATGATACCCAAAACAAAGTGTTTGCTCATTGTTAGTGATTTTATGTTTTACTTCTTTCTATAAAACACAGTATATAGCCACAGTTCTTTTTTACATTCTGTAGGCTTATTTCTGCAATGAGATCATGCATGTTTTTTGTTTGACTACTTTCCTATTTTTAGCAATAAAGCCATTTCTTTCCTAATTGGCCAGATGACCAATAACTTTCTTCCACTGTACCCCTCATTTTCAAAAGAGGAATAATCTTCCTTGATGCCTGTATGCAAAGGAATATTTGATAGGGTATATATGTTAGAGTGAATGTGCAATGTGAATGTTGATGAACCTAAACCAATTTTGTGAATATCTTAATACTCAGAGATAGGTTAGCGGTTGTTGAAAATCCTGTAAATCACAACTGATTTCCTTGTGTCTGAAAAGTGGAGAATGACATGCATTTTGAAGCATTTACAAAATTCATCTGAGATTTTCAGTATTTATATGTGAACAATGATAGCATATTAAAAGGTGGAGATAAACAGTGCTGTGTTTGCCTGAGCTATAGCAGCCTTTCTCAAGCTGTATTCCCCCAGATATTTTGACTTACAACTTCTGTCAGCCAATGGCCAGAGATTAAGGGAATGGTAGTCTGAAATTTCTGGAGGAACCTGACTGAGCTATAGTGTGCTCCACACATTTTACTGAGAAAAGTGTGCTTTGTTTCCTTTCTCCAACACAGTGTCAATTTTGGTGCGAAGAAGCAAGTGCTACAGTACTTCGGGTTGGGAAATATTCATCGGAGTGTAAAACGAGAGAAGCGGTAGAAATACTCTACAAGCAGTTCAACAAGTTTGTACACCCTATTGTCCCTCAGCAAGAGGAAAGAATTCAGCAGATTACTAACCTTGCTAAAGACATATATGGTAAAGACTCATTGCTTTTGAGAACCCAATATAATCTGCTGAAGAATAATAAGAACTGTGTTTTATTCATTCCAGGATTTCTCTCTAAACAAATAATGATTTGTTTATGATTTATGCTTTCCCTCAGCGTAAGATGCCATGGAGACTAGCACTGAAGAACAAAGACACAAAAATGCAACAAATGACTGAAACAATATTCAGTTTTCAAAATCCTGAAACCAGTGCTTTGCCACCTAAACTTTTTCTGGGGTGGCAAGTATGCCTCACCTCCAACTTATGTGTCATATTTAAATTCAACAATTTCTATTGAGGAAAGGTTGCCAAATCTCAGATCTCAGCCAGGGCTCACACGTCCAAAGTGCTACAATTCTTTGATTGGCATGGGTTATGATGTTAGATAAAGTTTCCTATTCCCTCTGAGCTTAGCCACAATCCTTATAGTAGCCCGGGGAGATGGGTGGATTTTGCCACCTCAGATATATTCTTGTGACCTCTCACAATTAGTTTTGGACAGCTTGGTCCGGAATGGGCAGTTAAATCCTAGGCCTGATGGAGATAAAAACAGCTATAATTGCTTTGTTGCTAAGACTGAACACAGTAACCTGCATTTTAGGACTTCCGGTGAGGATTTGTCTATGGGATTGTAATTATGAGTACCTGAACTTAAAAATCTACTATGGCATTACCACATGCTTGCATCCTGCTCTTCTGATAATTTAGTACTAATCCAGTAGAATTACAAAGAGAAAGATTGCCATTCAGTAAACATGCAGTAAATCTGTTAAAAATTCAAAAGCTTAATTCTGTCATCACAGCAGGGCTTATACAGCAAACTGAGCTATAGCAGAGGGCCTGTTATGAGATTCAGCGCAGTGTGGCAGTTAATGTTAGACTGGGGCCCAGGAGATCTGGGTTCTTGTCCCAACTTGGCCATGAGGCTCACTTTGGGCCAGTCACTCATGCTCAGCCTCCCTTAGCTCACACAGCTGTTGTGAGGATAAAATACAGCTATGCGAGCCATCTTGGCTTCCTCACAAAAGGAAAACTGGAAGGATATAAATGCAATACAACAACAGGAACAACACTGTTTTCCTAAATCCTGTAAACCATTTTAAGGTTGAAAAGTACAAGAAAAGTGCAAAAATCCCTTAATAAAAAACAAAAAAGGCAAATGAATCAAATAATGTTTTTGTTTCACTGTAGCTTAAGGATGCAATTCTATGCACACTTATATGAAAGACAGACCCATTGAACACCATGGGACTTACATCTAAGTAAACATGTCCAAGATTACTCTGTAAGTGTGATCCGGTACTTGGAAAATAGGTCAGAGATTCAGCAATTCATTACAGAGAAGCCTTTGCCTATAGTATGAAAAATAAATCTGAGTCTAAAAATAGGGACTACATTTTATACTACTTTGGCCTAATTCAAATGTTGTACTTGTTCTACCAAACTATTTTTATAAATTACAGGCACTGAAGAAGGAAAGAAGTATGTTGAAAAAATAGTGGCAAAGCATGAAGAAGTTCTTGATTCCATCAGTGAACTGTGTAGTTCCTTAACAGAACTTGAAGACAAGCTTGGGGTAATTTTTTCCTTCTTACTGGAAAAAGAACTTGGATATTCGCACACCAATCCTGTTTGCCTCTGTGCCAGAAATAAGTGCTCATAAGAAATCTGCCAGCTGTTAAGACACCACAGCATTGTGGACCTTTTAGCTGCGGCAGAGGTGGGGTTCGTCAGCAGATCCTTGTTATACTACAAACGAATTGGAGGAATGTATCAGGAAAAGCCATCACTGCCAGATATAAAATGGGAGCCTTGTACAAAGGGCTTCTTTCACACTCTGGTGGAAATATGTCGAAGTGTGGTCGCATGTCAGCTGAGATAGGGACTGACTTACCATGCTAGGAGAGGAGAACAATTTACAAGGGCAAAACCTACATCATACAGATTGTGATTCATTCTTAGATTCCATCACTCCAGCATGACCAAAACTATGAACCCAGGAAAGGACAATAAGTATGAACTAGAATAATTCAGATAATGGCTGCCTTAGTTCCCAATGGCTCCCATTAACTTCCATGGTACAAAGTCAGTAGTCTGAGAGCCCAGGGAGTGTCTGGAGTATCTTGGACCACAGGGTCATCCAGTGATGTTATTGAACTCACATCTTTAATTCTGATCATATGAAAACAATAAAATGCTGGGCTGCCTGGCATCTACTGATGGGGCTCTCCAGCCCCTCTAGAGTGGCATGTAAAATGGTATGAGGAATTCCAGGAGGATCAGAGGGGCCCTGCTACTTTTGCCTTTTGTGAATTTTGAAAGCTGCAGCAAAGCCGTGATATGGCTCAAAGGGGCGCATGGGGACATCCAATGGGACACATGGATTTCATTGAACACCTGCTTCTCTACTTCCCCCCACCCCAACAATTTGCCCATTGCTCCTTGTGGAATGCCTGGAACCCCTTGCATGTCTTTGCATGCACATGCAGGTGGATTTGCATCCTGGCCCCACAGTCCTGGCTAGCGTTTCATAATGCTATCATCATTATTTTGATAACTGTGGGTATTGTGGAAATGTTAACACAATCTAAGCTTAGGAATAGTTTAACTCTGCTTCTAGACTTTCCGCCAGTTTCATGGGATGCTGCTTCTGAGCATTATCAATCAATAGAAATATTTGCAGGGGGACTATCACCTGAAGGGCAAAACTTGACAGGAAAGGGGCTAGATGGAACGAGCAGCTTGGCCTTTGGAAAGAGTATGAAAACAGCTGATTCTGCTGTCTTTTATTAATGATTTTGTTTGTTTTGCTAACTTTATGTTTTTGGGGTTTTTTTTGGTTTATATTGTATTATATTTTATTGCTTTATAAACTGTTCCAGGTGTCCACATTGTATGCCCAAAAAGTAATTTATAAAGGCTGCTATAAACAAAATTGAAATACAATCATAAAGGCACAACAACTGTGCATGCTTTGGATCTTAGTCAATATGCCTAGCTTGTTTGACAAAGTCAGTTGGGCTGCAATCCTGTTGTTCCTAGATGCTTTTACCCTTACATGCCCTCTTCCAGTGCCTATGGAAACCTCTGCAGCCCATGCTTCTCTAAGGTTAGAGCTCTGTCAGTGGAGATGGAGACAATGAGGAATGGCTGGGTGTGCCATTGGCATGTTGGGAGAAGCTGTGCATACTCAGTGTCCACAGGCTTCCTGACTCCCTGAACTTCTCTCAAACCAGCTCCTAATTTCAACCAACCCTGATTAAGCTGACATTTTCCATTCTTTTAATGTAATTTAATTCATTTAATGAACGTTCAGTGGGAAAGTTCATTTTGAAAAACCCAGCCTGGGGGATGGGAAAGCAGTGGAAATCCTCCTTCTGCCTTACTATTTGATAGCCTCGTTCATCTATTGCCTCTTCATTTCATTTAACAGGAAGACTCACTAAACAGAAAAGCAACACATTCTGATAACTTTGATGTGGAGCTAAAAGCAGAATATGAAAAGCAGAAAGAGAAGAGAGCTAAGGAGTACCTAACAGAAACAACCAACGAGCCAACACAGGTTTGCACAGGGTTTTCCCCACATGAATTGTGTGTAAATAAAATTCAGACTAGTGAGGGATGCTGTTAGGGAAGCAATTCATGCCCATACAATCAGTAGTGCAGTGTATCTGCACAGCAAATGAGTAGGGGAATCTCTTGAAGGAATAAACTTTTGTCTAGAAAGTATATAACTATAGAAACAATTTATCCTACATATGGAATTATTAGCTTTCTTAGCAGTCTAGTTTATTATATTAATTCTATTATTTGTAACTTTTAGATGGAGTCAGATACACTGGCTGGAAGCCCATGCACAAATAAAACAGAAGTTATCTCCTCCACCACTGTAAAGGTAACTTTAAACAGCATAATATGATTTGTTTTAAAATGTCAGTTAACCAATTTCTTTTAAACAAGAAAAAATGTGGCCCACAAAAAGATTCCAGAAATGGTTGAGGTATGGTTGCATTGGACTTATAGCTGTATATTTCATATATTTAATTTCATTGTTACCTTTATGTTCAAAGCTCTCTGGGAAGTTTACAATGATAAAAATCTTTCAGATACAGTGTCGTCCATAATATAAAACCAGTTTTGCTACTAAGCAAACACACACACCTTGAAAAAGAACCAGCAGCTCCACATAAGAGCACCAGTGAATAGGGGACTATTAGAGGCATATGTTTGATCACAGATATTTGGGAGGAAATGGAGATGGAGTTCTTTTTAATAGTCAGTCAGTAAGTTTATTGTATTTAGCCTTGGGCCATTACAAGGTAACAAGATAAAACAATGGCCTAAGAAATAAAACCATAAATCAATATATCAAAACATAATACTAAAAGAAAAACCAGGCATAATTCAGAATGGTGTCCCCTTTAAAAGTACCCCCAGCTCTTATCTTTAGCTGCGAGGGCAAAAAGAGAAACTCAGTAAGAGACATATGGATCAGCATCGGATAAGAACACTTGCTCAGAATCGGAGTAAGCATTAAAGGCGGGTAGCATACTAGTCAATTTTTTTTCTCTAGGTTCATAATATAAAGAACAGTAAAGAGGACAGTGCAAGAGGTTCTCCATTTCAGCTGATCCACATATATTCTGGTTTCTCTTCAGATTGTATTTTTAATAAGTCACTATATAATAGGTGGAGCGAAAGGCTAAAGCATAACGGGGTTACCCTGAGAGCAAGAGTGATATTCAGTGGAGGAGAAGTGGTTACCTCAGAAGACAGCTTGTTATGTGGGAATGTAGGTAAGAGGCTGAGAACAGCACTAGGAAAGAAATGTGTGTGTATTTGGGGAGGGGGCAGGGAGAGCATCAGTTGTCCCCTCGTGAGTTAATTGATTTGGAAATGGAGAAAGGACTATACCAAGTGCTACTGTTTTAGAGGGATAGGATTCTTGAAATTGGACCTGGAGAACCTGTGGCCATCCAGAGGTTGATGGCCATCATCCCTCATCATTGGCCAGGCTAGCTAGGGTTGAGAGGAACAGGAGTCCTACATCAAGTATCACAGAATCCCCAGTCCTACTCTAAATTGTACACATTTATTTATTTATATTTATATTGCAATTTATATCCTGCCTTTTCCCCACAAAGGGCTCAAGGCAGCTTACACAATTCTCCTCCTCCATCTTATCCCCACAACAAGCCTGTGAGGTAGGTTGGGCTGAGAGTCTGTGACTGGCCCATAGTCACCCAGCTGGCTCCATGGCTGAGCGGGGACTAGAACCCAGATCCTCTGAATCCCAGTCCCATGCTCTTAACCACTACATCACACTGGCTCTCCTTGGGATAGGAGACAAGGTAGGTTAGAATTGCTGTAAATGTTCCATGAGAGAAGTGAAATACCTGATATATGCTTGATTTTATAGCAGAATAATTTTAAAGCAATAGTTTCCCCTAGTGATGGATGTGTCCAAGTAGCCACACAGATCTTTTATTGTGCTTCTAGAAATTAAAATAGCTTACAAATGTGAGAAGAAAACAAAACAGAAAATATATGTATAAATATTGTTCAGTCCCTCTCTCTCTCTCTCTCTCTCTCTCTCCCCCCCCCCCCCAACCCCCGTTTTAAGGAAGAAAAGATTTTGGCTGATATTTCAGTTATCAGCCCAGCTGGTGAGGATATTGTTTCACAGGACACAGAATTGTTGTCTCCTGCCAAAGAGGATAGTTTCCAGGCCGAGCTGCTGGCAGAAGATGTGCCCTCTGGAGAGGAATATGAGTGTATATCCCCAGATGATATCTCTTTGCCACCGCTTTCTGAAACGCCAGAATCCAACCTTCTGCATTCTGAAACGGATCTGGAAGAGCTCCCTTGCAGTAGCTCACGTAGCCTGCATGTCAGCTCCTCTAGTGTGCAAATGCAGATAAATACTGGCAGTAAAAGAATGGCAGATGAATCTGATCCCTTAACCTCTGCTGCTTATGCTGACATGCCTGGTCACAGGATGGAACATATGGCCGATCAACTAGAGCGATTTTCTTCCTCTACCTTAAGCTATCACTCAAAATGCAAAGTGGAATCACCTTTTGCTCCTAGTTCACCAGAAATGCTTGAAACCAGCCCTGTATCCTGCACGCTCAAGACAAAGGCTGCCTATTGCATGTCAAGTGAAGTGTGTGAGACCTATTTGCAAAACCGTGGGACTCACAGGAGCATGGCAGAAGCGCAGAGACAATTGCATGATATAAATAACTTTACTAAAAACCAGGATAGGCCGCATGCTTTACCCAATACATTCTCAGATCTCCTGTTTCAATCAGACACCACCAGAAGCTGTCAGAGGCAGATGGTCACCCGAGAAGAGATTAAAAGTATATCTGAAAAGAACAGCATGGTCAGCCTATCTGGACAGGCGCCTAAGTTCTCCAAGCTTCTGTCTAACGTAACTGTCATGGAAGGTTCTCCGGTGACTTTGGAAGTAGAAGTAACAGGATTCCCAGAGCCTACGCTGACCTGGTGGGTAGCTTACAATGAGAAAACCTCAATATAAACAGAGAAAACTCCACTGAGCATCAGTCTAGATATCAGAGTGACCTGTTCATATCACTCCATATTGCCATGGGATTCCATTTCCTACTGGACCCATATTTAATAGTCAATTATATATAATATTAAGCCTGGATATCATCATTTGATGGGATATAAATGCAATGTAATAATCATAGTAATAGTTTTCTGATTTCAAAATGATCCAAGCACACCCAGCCTAAAATATTAAATAATATTTTGAGATGAATTTTAAAAAGGAACATTCCAATCACTAAAAATGACTTAAGAGGTTATTGTGGCTGAATTCCTCTCCATTTGCAGTCCAAAGTCCCTTTCAACTTCAAGGTAGAGGAGAAACAGATATTGTCTATCTTGACCTGAATTTAAGGAAATACATTACTTGTTCCATAAACCCAAGGAAGGCTCAAGCATGGCAGAGAGGGATACTTCTCTGGGCAGACAGGGACATTTCTCTGGGCTGCAAGCCTATTGTCATAAGGGAAAAATGTTACTAAACTGTACACCATATGCTTAAGGGTGATTAGGCAAACTTACTTCCCTTTCTCGATAAGGGATGCCCATGATTATCTGCTGGAGTCTAGAGAGAGGGAGAAAGAAGGAGAGAAGATACTGAATTTGGAGAAAGATACTGAATGAAGTATTCCTCCCTATTGGACCTCCTTTATCTAGGACCGTGTGTTGCAGAACTCCTTTGTTCCTACTACGGTTTCTGCACACAGGCCAGAGGAGGCGTGGCAACCGACTGGCAACAGGAGGAAGATGCGAAGCACCATAATGATCAGGGAGAGTATGAACCTGTGTGGCTGGGGCTATTTTCAGGCCCCAGAATATATGTGATTAAATGACAGAGCTCTGCTCTCCAGAGTTGCTGGCATTAGTTAGGTCCCAGGGACAGGGAACAGCATCTAAAGGACAACTGTGGACAATGTGTAGTTGTCCACAGCCATTTCTGGCACGAATACAAAGCAGACACCCATTCATGCAGGTTCTTAAAGGCTTCAAAAAAGCTAAGGGACACCAAGCAATCCACTTTCCATCTTTTTTTTTTCTGAAATAAATCTCTTTCAAGTGAGGAGGGGGCTACATTTCAGACTTGGCCCAGAGAAACAGTGATTCTGCACCAGCCCACTGTTGGAATGAACTGGGGGCACAGGCACCAGGCAAGAGCTGGCAATGTGAGCAGATCTTCATGTCACCGGGCAAACCTCTTTTAAACTGAGTGGAGTTTCAAAAGCAGTTTGCAATTTCTTTGTTGTTATAAAATGCTATGAAGTTTCTTGTTCCATGAGGGGGCGGAGGAATCCAACATCCCATGGGGCATGCCTAGAATGCTTACTGTTCAGAGTATAATCATTATTATTACCTTGATGGTTAGGTCATAGGGTTTTTCACTTTACAGGTAAGGAACAGGGGCTGAAATTGGCAACCAAAAATCTCCAAGGGAGCATGTAAAAATGTTCCCATTTATCCTGAGATTCCCCCCCCCCGCCCCCATTTTAAAAATATAAATAGCCTCCACTCATTGCCACACATAGGCTTCAATCCTGTACACACTTACTTTAGGGTGAGGCTGATGACTTAATTGTGTGTTACTTTTCAGTAGATGTACATAGGAATGTGCTGTAAGAGGTACTTCAACCACTCCCCACAATTGCTACAATAAAAAAAGCAGGTCAAGAATTAGCTGGTCAGTCAACTGTATATAGCCCACTGTATTGCTAAAGGTCACTGAGTACATCCCTCCCTAACTATGATTCAAGCTTTAAAAATACAGCAAAGAACTGAGCTCTCCACTTTCCCTCCAGAACAGAGTTTAGCCGGCTGTATCCAGCAAACAGGACTTTTACCCCTGGCCAATATAGGAAGAAAATGCTGGGTACTTCCAGAAAGAGTGCTCCTAGCACTAACATTCAAAAAGCATTGTGCACCATATCTGTTTTTTCCTCCTTAATGCATGATCTGCAGAAAGAAATAAAAAGACAAAATAAACGGTAGGAAATCATGGGAGGGATTATGAGTGGAGCATATCTTTATTTGGACCTGTTGAAAAATTCCAGGACTGATTGGCTAGGGGAACATAACCTCACCTAGATGTTCACACAACCTTTTTACATTTTTGTCTCTGATAAAGAACTAAATATAAAACTATGGTGAAATTATGTATGAAAAAACAGTACAACGGGTTATCAGATGAATCCAACAATGAAATTAGAAGTGGGACAGAAAGTGAGTGAGGGAGAGAAGTATACGTTTTAATCCTAAAATAGAAGTTGCTGGATTCATGCTAGGCATGATAAGCTGACCCCCTTTCATTAAGACTATGTTTTAAATCAATTTTCTTGCAAGCTATGCAAGAGGGTTGTTTTCCTAGCTAAACAACATCCAGATTGATTCTAATCTAATCCCTTGCTGTTGCTTATTTCTCTGCAATTGCCCTTTAATTGCCACTCTTTTATGACAGTGTGTACTCTTACAACTATGTTAGTCTATGTTTTTGTTATGCTCAGCTCTGCACATAGAAAGTAAGCAGAATTACTGACAAAGAAAGAACATTTTAATGAGAGTGTGTTATAACAATGTTACAATCAAAAACTAACACATTGTTAGTCCATAGAATTTGAAAATCAGAATGTAACTGAAAGGCAAATGAAGCAAATCATTGTGTTGTGTCTGGGTCACTGATTCATTTTTAAAGGTTTCTATTGCTTGCTTTAAAATACTCTATCATCTTCCCTTTGGGACACTGCTGCCATCAGCTTTAGTCAGCCTTTAATACTTGAACACAATATCACTTCAGTTTCTGAGCAAAATAAACATCTCCAACTGAAAGATCTTTATCAAGTCACAGCATTATAAAAATAGCTTAAGTACAAATCTTCAAAGTAGCAACCGCTGTAATGTTGATGGAAACAAAACAGTTTTTAAAGGAAAATGCGAATAAACCTGTGTTTAAGCAACACTATGAAACCCAATGTATTAGGCAAACATATTGACAATAGCTGGGAATGGGGTAAATAGTAATTAGCTTATCTGACAGGGCATTTATCTGTTTGCCATGGAGAGAATTCACAATAACAGGTTGTGGGAACGAGACCCTGTCAGTCCCACCCAAACACCAAGCTGGCTCTTAAAACTGGGAATCAGCATTTCCATATACAGACTCTAAATGACAGGCTGCTATAAATAAGGGATCAGCCAGGGATTGGGAAAACCACAAATGCAGAAGGTGCTATCGTCTTAGCTCTTACACTCCCCAATGTATAAGTTGGTTTTGCAGCATTTACCCATTATTCTATGTTGACAAATGATGATCAATGGATTAGTTTTCTCTCTTGGTGTCATGAACTTCTACCAAAAAAGGAAAGGGGCACATACCTAGCCAGAGCATTGAAACAGAGCACCTTTCTACTAACAGGCACAAAACTTTATGAAGCTTTATTAGTGGAGTTAATTCTCCTGTGAAAATAATTGATCCCCTGTCCTAAGGCCTGACTTTTGTCTTTTACTCAAGAATAAACTAGGAATAACACCTAACAGTGCAGAGGGGCAGATCCAGATCAAGAAAAAAATCAAGGTTTTGGATACTCTTTAAATTAAATTTTTCATGAATACATGAGATTAAGGTTCTTGCCTTATCTTTATGGAGCCAAACAGATGTAACAAAAATATCACTTTTAAGAACAAGCATTTTGGGATTCAGGGCATCTCTTTCTTGATAATTACATCATCTCCCTTTTTCTAACCCTGAGAATATATTTAAATTGTGAGCCAATCTGCTTTTTAATACAACTTTTAAAATATCAGGAGACATTGCTAGGGATTGCTATTGCTGCTAAGTTCATTGTTGTAAGAGCTTGTTTGACATCGCAAATTACTCTGCTTCCACGAACATTCATGTTAACCTGACTTGAAAACTGACTCTCTACTTCAGGTACAAGAAGGGCCAGAAAGTGACTGGAGATGAGCACTTAAAGCTCTTTCACAAGGACACAAAGTACACTTTGTTCATTCAGAAGGTGTGTGACACAGACGCTGGGCTCTATGTAGTTCGGGCCAAAAACTCTAGTGGCACCGTCTCCTCCAGTGCCATCCTCCATGTGAAAGGTAACGGGGCACTAATAAAAAGAATAGACTGGATAATCCTGTGTGCCCTCTACTTGGTTGTATCACTTGCGTGCTGGCTGCTTTCTTAGTACAGCACTCTGACTTCACTGGACTTTAACTTTCACAACTGGAGACAACAGCGAACGGCCATCTTTTGCTGCACCTCACCTCACCCTTGCCACCCTTGCTTTCGAGTCACTCTGAATCTCGTGCTCTTTTACATTAATATCACGGCTACACTGGGTGTTGTTCTGTTATGCTACAGTCATGTTCCATAGGAGGGCAGAAGGCATTTTTAAAGGCACCTTCTAGGTTTTTGCACTGTGAAGAAAAATGCTTTTGGATTTAAAATGATCATGAAAATATTTTTATGGCTCATAGTCGCTCACAGGCCACGAGATGCTCACTTTAGTGTATGTGCTGTAAAAAATGAGAGTTGCTTTAGTGTCATTTAATGAAAAGGGAGAAACATTTTATATACACATTGATATAGTATGTTTTAAATGTTCAAAAGGTTCTCATTATTGCTTACATTATGCCAGTAATTCTTACCGCTCCCTAAGGTAGGATAGTACTGTTACTGCCGTTTTGTAGATGGGCCTGGCTGAGGGAATGACAGCTTGCTTAAGAACAGCTCATGATTTTCTGATTGCTCAAACATGTAAGACACTCGGTAAGCCTTTACTGATAGTATGTGGCTTGTCCACGTGAAGAGTTATAATAATGATTCATGGAGATGCTTAATATTTTAATTCATTCATAATTGCTATGAATGATGACATGAAATTTGTACTGAAATTTAAAAAGGTAAGACATATTTGGCAATATGAAATATGATAAAAGTATAAAACAAGGACATGGTAAATCATAAAACAAATATATTAGATAGTTAATATAATGAGGTATAAGCAATAATTTTAAATTGAGGAAAAGCCAAAATGGAGTTTGCCTTACAATTTGCACTTACTTTTATTTTTAAAAATGGGAGCTAAGGCTACACTGTATTATTAGAGTTTGTTGACTTGTACAATGCAATGTTTATGATTCATAGAATAATATATCACCAGATCTGACCAAGGTAAGAAAAGAAATCATGCTATTTACAGAGAAATTTTGTTTATAAATTCTCACCATATTCAAATGACAAGTTAATCATCATTAATTCCACCCATTTTCTAGGAAGATCAGATATATATCTATGTAGTTAAAAATGGTTGGTAAATATTTGTATTGCTTTTCCCCTTGGAGAATAACTTTCTTCTTTCCTATAATGACTGCTCTGTTGGAAATTTATACAAAAAATATTTCCAATCTCTTGCAAGAAATTTACAATATGGAAATAAATCCTCAAGTGCATAGCATGCTGTGGAAAGAATATCTATTACAAATGGTGGGGGGTGTCATGAAGATGGAGAGAAGGGGTTTTTTAGCCACCTGGTTGCAGATTTATTATAGGCATGTAAAACTGAAAGAAGATCTGTCTTCTAGACAGCACCGTCCTTGAAGCAAAAAAAGCAGAGAAGAGAAGCTAATTGATCCAAGAAGACAACCTATTCTCATCTTGAGCCCAGAACTTATTTTCAGATGATGTGAAACGGTTCCCTTACAAGCAGCTTACCAATGAACATCAGTACTTTATACAGGTTTTTTGTCCAGCAAAATGCTTGTTCTGGAACCGATCCACAAAAATCTAACACTATGCAGGCTGAAACAAAGGTGGGAGGGCAAGTTCCAAGGGTTGTTGGTAACTATATCACCAGATGTTTACTTACTTGTGTGAATGATCCATCACAGTTCTAAAACAACAGAGACTTTCTGTCACCCAACATCTCCTCAAATGCATTATGACTCAAAGACTTCGCATGTCTCCAACTGTATGTATGGATTAACTTGTAGAAGACTGTGTGTGTCTTTGGCCTAACTAGCACTGCTAGAAATTGAAGCTAGATAGGAAAAAGGTTTCCACCCCTTCTACAACTACCACTACAAGCCTGCACATGGCTTTGTAGATTTATTATTAAATGCATGGTTGGTTGCAGCTAATTTCATGGTATACAACAAAAAGCTCTGTCACCTCTTCCCTAGCACAGGGATGGGATAAATATCCATCTGTGAGGAACATTTTTTATCTAGGAGATTCGTGAGCTATATCAAAATATTATGAGAATATTCATGAAATTAACAGAAGAGGCAGTACATCATGACATTGAGTTTTGTACTCAAGCCTAAAATCAAGTTTCTGGTATTTTCAGTCAAGTCATTTCCCCAGTGCTCAATTTATATACAGAGTGCTGAGGCTCACACCAACCATTTTCCTCTCCTCGAAAGGCTAGCACTTTTTAAAAAAAAATCTGGCAGGATACAGGAGAGAGGAAGTAGAAATCAACGGATTTCTACTAGAAGTAGAAATCAAACGATACCTTGTCAGCAGCCATCGTTTGGAAAACTGCATCTGTTCATTCAATCATGCAGCAGTTAATGCCGTAGAGCCTCAGCCTAGTTGAAAAAAGTGGCAACTCTAGCCTGCTTTCACTCCTAAATTGTGCCTAAGCCTAAGCCCCCTCCCTTTCGAAATATACAAACACACAGCTACACACCATGCCTAACTCTACAGCAAATGGAAACAGGGAAGCTTCACCAGCTGAATGGCTACTTTTCTGCCCTAACAGAAAATGGCTTTAATAGTGCAAAGAGGGGTGGGGTCTGCTCTAGTTAGATATCCTGAGATTTTCCATTTTTTCTTGAGGCAACCCATCTGTGAGAGCAATGGCTCTGTGACAGCATGCCACTTAAATATGCATTACACTGGAATAGTAAATGTTACATTTGGGAAAGCCATGTTATTTTTCTTTCTTTTTTTTTTTTTTAGCACATTTGATCTATTGTTTAATGTACAAACTAAAATGAATATCTTCTGTGAGAAATGCTTTAAAGAAAGCTCCTAGATCAGACCGTAGAGCACAAGTGTGTTGTATGCCAAAGTTTCCATGTTCAATTCGTGGCATTTCCAGGCTGGTCTGCATAAGCATCTAAAATAGTGAAGACACACTCCCAGTTATCGTTGACAATGCTAAACTAGACGGAATGAGCCATGGTCTGATTCAGCAACTTCCTACATTCTTCCTGTGAAACTGTATGGGAATGTGTCCACTTCCTGGGCTTCTTTATAATCCCACCACAGCTCAGAAAGAACATGGGGGTTGTTCCTTCCAAGTAATACTCAGGATTTCCTGGTATGAAGAAATATAAATAACCGAAAGTCTAGCCTTGGGTATGAGAAGCAGAATCACTGCAGATACCAGAGGGAATCTGCATCCATTGGCAAAGGAGAGATATTTGAAATCTCCGGAAATGCTTTAGATGCAATAAATAAACTACACAAATTGATCTTGTAAAGACAGTGATTATCAAGATACTGTGCTGAGGAGAAAGCAACTGGCTGAAATTAAATTTGTCTAAAAAGCAGGCATGGCAAAACATAGCCGGACTGGTGAAAAGACACTGTGAGGCTATTCCATCTTCACCTCTTTAATGACTTATTCCATGCGAGGAAAAAGGATGGGAGAAGCAGTGGGAAGTACACAGGAGGGTGACAGGTGAAAGACACTGTTATCAACCCACCCCTCGCTCCCTTTCAAATTCCATGAAAGAAGCAGGACAAGTCTATCACAAAAGGCTCATCTGAAATCACCTATATCCCATCTCCATTAAAGTTACTATTTCTTGTCAGCATCTGATTAATTAACTTATTAAGATGGCCAGGTAAAAGAAAGTGAGTTTTTATAATGTGTTTCCTTGGCATTCTATGCCACTCCACATGTAAACAGATTCTGGAGTGGTGAACAAGATAAGATAAAAAGTACACCACATCAAAACATATTAAATCATATTATTTTTTTAAAGCATAAAACCAATGAGAATCATGATTACTCAATCGAGGAAGGCTTCTTGGAAAAAGATGTCTTCAGTGGGAACCCAAAATCACACAGCCCTATTGCCTGTCTGGCCTTCAGAAGCATAGTTCCACAGAGAGGAAACCACCAAAGTGTAGGCTCTACTTTGGGCAGACTTTTAATTTGCACACTGTTTTGTTTTACTGTCTTTTGTTTGTTTTAATTGTGTGTTTTTTTATTGTTGTACCGTATTTTTATTCCACTGTTATCCATTTAGAGGGCCTTTCGGGCCAATATAGTGGAATACAAGTTTGATAATAAATAAATAAACCCCTGTCAAGTCATACATCCAGGAACCCCGACCATCTTACAAAAAATCTTGCCTTACTAAGGCTGCTTATTGTGATGTTTGACAGGTTGAGTTTGTTGCTTGACTAGTTTTGGTTGAACTTTTACTGTGTGCATAGATTTTATGAAAGACACTCTGGCAATCTCATTGGCTGAAGAGTAGGATCAAAATGCTTAAATAAATACAGCACCAAACAAACCAATTGGAAGGGGTTGACATAATTTGGAGACAAGCCTGGATCTCCACCACTGTTCTGCTCAGCTTCTACCCAGGCACAGAATAATCTACTCTTTCCTTCACATTCCAGATTCCTAGAGTTCCATCTTTCCTACCCCACCTCAGCTCTTCCCAGGCTGCCAGCAATGACTAAAGCTAAAGTTGGCAATTCTGCTCATGCAGCCTGTGAAGAAATTTTACCCTAATGCATCTTTAAAATACAAAATGGCTCTAAAACTCCTGCTCAACCAGACTGTGAAGTTACTAGTTAAGTATATATTGGTATGTCCCCCAAATCAGCAAAAACTTCTATGTAAACAGCAGTTGCTTTCAAAATAGAAAAAAAAGCAGTCCAATCAGGCATCTTCCATGTTTATCGGAAATAATCCCCCAATCATGAAATAGGAAGCAGAATGAACTTCTTCTATGGCTCTGGCCATATCACATAGTCTCCTGGCCTGGACTCCAGGTGTCCTACTATTTGATTCTTGTGAAGGTAAACAGAATTTCAGATTCTGCACTTTAAATATGCACCATAAATT